ACAGAAGGCAAAAGATCACGTGGCCCTTCTCCAATTATATAGATGGTCCGATCAAGTAAAAGACCTCCTGTTCCCAAAATTCCGTTATAGCACTTTCAATAATATGATTTTTGTATGTATTATGAGTGATTAAATACTAAACATTGCATTTAATAATAATTGCATGATGCAGATATGACCTAACAATTGAGTTTCTACAAAAATATAGATACTTTACATTTAAAAATATAGCTAGCTAGCTATACTATAAAAACTACGATCTGGTCATGATATAGGCAGTGACGAAGGCACATATTAAAATAAAATAAAAATAGCCTTTATTCGAGTATGGTACACTAAAGTACACTAAGTCCATGTCATTTTGTTTTACACTACTACTCGATTTCCGTCTCTATTCCTCGCGACAATTTTCTAATTCTGCCCCGCTACCGCTTTTATTCCATCTTCCCAATTTCTGGTGGGCGTCCTCTATTTTTTCTTCCCACTGGGCCATTCCAAGTAAGGGTCTTCTTGACCCATTGACCACAAATGCGGACAATGAACCGGCCCATTTCCACTTTAACTCTTTTGTATGTGTTACATATTAAAACCTTGTCACGACGAAGCTAAGCTAACAAATTAAAATAAGATTCATTTTTCGAATTAGAAAAAAATAATTAATTATAAAAATACTTTCAAAAATTCGTTAACTAATTGGTTACTCTTTATTTGGGTATACTTTAGTAGGACCCAAAGATTCATAAAACAGATACTATATAGGGATACCTTGTAGTAAGTACCTCAAATATAGCCCATATATAACCTAAGAGAAGGATCAGATTAGTAAAAAAAATTAATCAAAATTCGACTAATTAAGGTAGGGTAGTTAATTACATCCTAAAAGTTATATTCTAATTAAATTTGAGAGTGACGGAAAAAAGGAGGGCAACAAAGTTGTAAAAAAAATATCTACATTTCGAGCTAGCTAATTTTTCTTTTATTTTGAAGGAAATAATTCCAAATAATGAAAAATATATAATCTGACGATTTCCCAAGCAAATAACAAAAATTCGTGATAAAGTTAAATGCGTGCAGCTGCTGATGCCTACATTTCCTTAAACGATCGGAATCTACTAAACGGCGTTCAAAATATTTCCCTCAAAATTACATTTCCTGTGAATTTGAACCGATTCGGACCGATAGATTTTGAGAAATTTTGAAAAATCTTAAAAAATAAGAAATATTTTTTTTTAAGTGGTTTCTTTATCGATCAACTTCAAAAACTAATCCGCCTTTGAGCTTGAAAAACCCCGTCGATCGCCACCAATGTCAAAAGCGGTTGATTCGTTCAGAGATATCGTAATGAAAGAAACCGAAAAAGTGTTTTTCGGATTATCGAAATTTGTGGTTGATCAATTAAAATTGCAAAATTACTTATGAGAATGATAAAACTGCTGAATCCCCAACGTAAAATTGCTTGATCCATTCAAAAGTTATTGCGGTTTGAAAATTCAAAAATAGTGTTCTATAAATTCTATCAGACTTTCAGCTGGGAGAGTCAAATATAGAAATGTTATTTCTTTGAATCAGCGAGTCAAAATATCAATTTTAAGCCAGAATGGAATTAGCGGAAGTTGCAGGGATGGCCTTTAGGTGAACCGTTTTCTATTTTGTCAGATCAGCAATCCTCTAGATAATGTCAGATTATGAGAAGTACGTTTAGAAATAAAGATAAAATATATCTTAATCTGACGCGTTGAGTATTTCAAAATTGCATTTTTTTGCAAATTAAGAAAATGGCTGTGGGTTTGTCCATCAAATTAGATATAATGAGAGATTTTTTTTCACTTAAATCCTTAAAAATCTGACCCTCGATAAATTTTTTTTTAAATTTTCAACTTAAATAAACACCCCATCATCAAGATCAGATTAAATACGTACATTATTAAAAATACGTAGGATAGATTTATTCTATCGAGGATTATAAAGTTTTTTAATATTTAATATTATAGCCCTTCCCCACATGAAAAGGAATTTATCATATAAATTTTTTTTTTTTTATCTAAGTTTATCCCAATAGGTTTAGTATAAATCCATTTAGCATCGTGGGCTCCCTACCATTAGCTTACAAAAATAAATAGTTCGAGAACATATCGGCTAAAGAAGTTGTATTGAAATTATAATAGACTCGCACAACGACCATTATTGCAAATATTTGTATATAGGCATAATCTATTTCTTTTTTTACTTGGGGAAATGTATTACCTCTCCGCGACACGACTTCTTATGCGGGATTATGTGGGACTCGCTATAATTGTGCATACCCACTGAACCCCTAAAGCCTAAACGCTTCCCAGTTTGTAGCATACTGTAACTTCCAATAGCATTTCCGACTCAATGTTGGGTTTTTGTACCACCCGATATCAAGGTTCTTCATATTCGTCGAGATCGCGACTACAGACCACCAACGGACTCGGGTAGAAAATACGCACCTACTACGACGGATATGTGCTAATGATTCCGTGTAGAGGCTAATACTAGTCAATACCATACAATTGTTATTGTAAATTGTTAGAACAGCAAATAAAATAAGTGTTCACTTCAGTTTAGTGCTTATTGTATGCTAAGTTAAGTGCAAAGCCATTGCTATTTCTTTACTCAAGACATCGTTACCTTCTGTTGTGTTTATTTAGGTACCAACCGTTTGATTCGCCAACATTTATAACATTTAATTTTAAATGTAAATTCCGCGCTATTAAAAATAATATGTATTAAGCAATATAGGAGATAAAATATGTAATTGGTGTATCTTTTAATGTAACGATTATGTTTTAATTACGCTTTTTATTATGTGTTTTTGTTCGTTTTTGCTACTGGAGTGTTTTCTCGATTTTAACGTTTAATTACTTATTGGTTGTACTGTAAAGCGGGCCATAGACGGACCGCATGTTACAGACAAGACCGACTGCAACATGCGGTTTGCTCAGGAACTGCTCGAGCGGTCCGTGTATTACGAATATGAATTTAGTATGGAAACTGCAGATCGCCATGCGGCGACCGCTTAGAGTAGTCTGTATCGGCTGCAACATGAGGTCCGTCTATGGCCCGCTTTAGTCTTTGAAAGAAACAAGCATTTTTTTAAATACAGCCTGTGTAAGTTAATGCAGAATATTGGTACGCGTTAGAAAACAGTGTCCAACACACATTTGTTATTTCTTTTTCTAGATACTTATCCGAAATCTTGCTATTCTTAAAGGTAATGTACTATCATCATTGCCTTTGTATTGCAATGCAACGTACAATAATGATTATATTTTATTTTAAATGTAAATTCCGGGTTATATAGAATAATTGATTTATAAGTTTAACGCCTTTAGTACACCTACGCGTTCGTATGCGGCTGCGAATCTTTCATAATTTGCGAAATATCTGCGGAACGTTAGTACACTGCAGGTTTTTCGCAAGGATATGTCATTGTAGCTTTCGTGGGCTGTAGGTGCAGACGTCGTTTCAGAATGTCATCTGAGTCGTCCCAGTCGTCGCTTTCAGATTCTGAAGAGGATTTTGTAATCAACATGCCCAACTAAATATAATTCGGGATAATTTCGAATCAAATTCAATATTTTCGGCTTCCATTGTGCGAAATTCTGTCCTCACTGACAGAACGCGTGGTGTCGCCTTGCGATGCGAAACTTTACTAGCGAAACGTCTGCGTCTGTGTAACAGCCATTTCGCAGTTACTTGCGAAACAATACCGACAAGGACGCAACTATTTCATCTAGCTATATATTAGAGCGAGACAAAACACATGCGAAACGTTGCCATACAACTTACAGTTTTTTCGTCGTTTCGCTGCCGCATGCGATTGCGTAGGTGTACTAAAGGCGTAATAGGAGATAAAATATATAATTGATGTGTCATTTAATGTAACCATTATGTTTAGATTACGCTTTTTCTTATGTGTTTTTGTTCGTTTTAAGTTTTTTTTGATAAACCAAATGTAAGTTAAGGCAGAATATTCTTTCGCTTTAGAAAACTCCACAACACACATTTTTTTATAGAATAAATTTATCCCGAATCCTCTTAAATATACTTTACATTATAATATTTTACATATTATTTTATACATCATTGCAATTGCATTGCACTTTATGCACGGTGTTGAAATAAACACGTTTTGAAGAAATTCAGTTCAACCTTCGACCTTGCTGATTTAATAAAAACCCAATGAAGGTCAATTTTCGGCGGTTTTGACCTGTTAAACTTTGAAAGTATTTTTGGCCCCTTTCTCTTAATGAGAGGATAATTTCGCAGTTTATATTTTAGTGATACAAACTGAAATTTATGATTAGAATAGCTACTGTACAGTATTAGTTATTACGACTGTAAATTGCATCGTCATGTTAAATGAGTATGTTTTTCAGCCAAAGTAATTTCTAATTCATGTTAGTTTATTTTCTTCGGTCTAAACATTAAAAAAATATTTCTCATAAAATGTCATTTTAATGCATTTATTTGTCTATTTGTATTTATGTTGTCATTGCAAATAGCTCGTTTCATTCACGATTTTATTACAAAACTACTGTGCATTCACAGAACACAGCCGCGTAAACTGTACTCTATAGACAATATTGCAAAATTTAATTAAAGACGAATACTTAAGTGTATAAAATATTGACATTGTGTCATAATACAAATATGACCATGAATGTGACCCTTTTAAGTATACTTTAAGAATACAACGCGTGTATTATGCAATATTTGTTTGGTGGTTAGGCGAAGGTGATCGCAGAAGTTACAAATGTGGATCGTCGTGTATTTAGTTAATGAATCACGCAGAAGTACGGAGGTCCTGCGTTTGATTACGGAGTAGAAATTTTTTTGGGATTACAAGGACCTTGCAGTTTGTGTGCATGAACAAACTTTCATTGGTGACGCTATCAGCTATCACCGAAGTTTGTTGGCATTTCTTGATAAATTATAATAAACATTGTTACCATTTCTGTTTCAGATAATCCAAGATGGTGGCCCGACCGCGATCCCCTCACGGGGCTTTAATACCACAATTCTACGCCGGAAGAAACATCTTCATTACAGGGGCCACTGGGTTCATGGGAAAGGTAAAGATCTTCATATTAAATAAAGATGGAGCTAATTCGGTGTGCTTTGAGGCACCATTAAGTAAAAAACTGTTTATTTATTCTGTTCATTGAAATGATCCTTCACAACCAACTCCAAAACCTCAAGAGGACTTCAACGTGTAGTTTATTTAAAGAGCTATCATAACTCGAAAACCTCTTGCAAAGTTTGACCAACGGTTTTTGCTCAACGGTTTTGGAAACGCATAGAGATCAAACATTTACATATATTTTTGTTCCTCTATTTATAATTTAGTCTCTCCTGTCTGGACTGACATATTAGAACAGCTGATTTTTTGGCACTGGACTACATGCGATGGTTAATACTTAATCTTATGTTGATCAAAATCAAATTATTATTTACTCATATATAAGCGCCAATAAAAATTATGAAATGATTCAAAGTTTACATTTATTGGCAGCTCTCAAATAAGTAGATTGGTGGAAAGAAAACTGGCCTAAAAATCCGCTGCTCTCTTTTTGCTTTTATCTCATGGATGGCTGGCACAATACAGTTGCGTTGGAAGGTAATGGGGAAACTCTAGAAAAAAATTTAAGCAAGTGGCGCTACAACCCTTGGTTTTGGTCTCAGATTTCTGTATCTGTTTCGTGATAATTTTTTGTAGATCATCAGCCTTCTGTGCCTGACTCGCGCCGTCTATTTTTTTATTGTGTCTAAGGAATGCCGCTTTCCTCTCGCAGTTTTCCTTCGCCGCACGAGCGGGTGTTGTGCTCATATAGAAAGAGAAGTCCATTGGTGCACCCTACGACCACAGTGATCATGTTTAATACACTGGACCATAGTTTCTCAAGCGGGGGATTTAGTTTGTTTTGAAAGGGGGTCGCAGTCTGTTGAAACATAATAAATACAAACTCCTTATAGGTACAGAAGATTCGTTAAAAATTACGCGCTATGTATATTACTATAATTTTACAGCTTTTTCGTGGGTCGCGACATACTCGTAAAAATGCTTGAGTAACGATCCACTAGAAACTCCGAAACTCCGGTTTGATAACGATAATAATTTCCAGGTACTGATAGAGCGTCTTTTATCAACATGTCCAGACATTGGGACATTACATCTGTTGATGCGGCAAAAGAAAGGTGTGTCAGTGGAAAAGAGACTGCAACAGTTAAAACAATCGCAGGTATTGAGATAATTTTACTTGTATTTAGAAAACCCGTTTGCGGCGCATCTTGTGTTATATACGTTCAACGAAGGATTGCAATAAAATATGTATAACTGTAATAAATAGACCTTTAAAAAAATATTAATTTTTAATTTATAAGAATTTAAAATAGTTGTTACTTTGTATGTTTTGTATATACAATCTGAGATAGATTATTATAATTCTATCAATATTATTTGCGTAATAAAACCCGGATCTCGACGTTTGTTTACAAAGTAAAGTTTTAATGACTGACTAAAATGTAAGCAGTTATTTATGCGTTCGAGATTTATCGAGTAGTTCGATTATCACGTGTATACAATTGTAATAATTATGTGCATTTCCTGTGAAAAACAATTTGATAATCTCTTGTTAATAAAATGAATTATTTCGTCAATTCCAACCATTATGAATAAAGTTTATTTTATAATATAATGCTGATGAATGTGTATTTAGGATATTAGGGATCACCGTGTTTGGGAAGAAGTTAAATGAGGCATTGCCATTGCTTTGTACGGTGTTAAGTTTTAGTAGAGAAGATAAGGAATTTCCGATTCTCACGTTAAGGCGTCTGACAGATAGTCCTCAAATACCAAGGCGTACATTAAATATATTCAATTTATTAATATATATAATTATAATATTTATTTCCAACAGCTAAATATACAGTATTTACAATATTCTTAACCTACCTAGTAATAATAATAATAGTAATTTAAAAAATATAAATAGAAAAAATGTATAATTCGAGTTGAATACTGGTTGAGGGGCGGCGAACTAGCTGTTTACTCTAGAAAGTCTAGAATATTGAAGTTTGCTACACCGAATGTATAATGACAAGTGAGAGGGGAAAGTCATCGGCAAAATTTGTTGCAGATAAGACTGCTATCTGTAAAACATCAGAAAACCGTCATGCAAAGATCTTTTTAATTTCTATGAGTTAGCAAAAAACAAATGCGGTTCCAAAACTTGCCGCCACAAAAATATGCCGTCCTAGGCTCCAGCCTACTCAACCTGCTAGTAAATCCAGTACACGCTAAATCTCGACAGAAACTGAAACCCTAAAGCGCGTTTTAGGATTAGACGTAGCTTTGTATTGATTATCCCTACAAATTGAAACAAGCGTTTCGATCTCATTGACGCGGTTGAATATCGATGTCGAATGAGAATCAACCTATTTTTATTGTTGTTTGTACGGTACGCCATTTAAATTATAATTTATGATCGCGGAAAATAAAGTACATTTGTTCTATGAAATTAATTTTCCTGTTCATAAATTTATACATTAATGTAAAAAAATTACTGTATTCACGTTGTGTACAGAGATACCTAGCAATTTTTTCGTATAAATATGTTTAAAAATACGCTTTTTTAACCTTTTTATCCGAAGCTATCGTTACGTCCTGTATCGAATTCTGGACTTTCTAGTAATATTCGTAGATACGCTAGTTACTCGTAATTATATTAAAATTACCAACAATACATAAATTAAAATAATGTTATACAGGCATTCGACGTACTTCGTCAGAAAAATCCGACACAACTTGACAAGTTAAATATAATACCGGGTGATGTAGCCCAACCGAACCTTGGTATACTTCCGGAATATTTAACTAAATTACACGAGGTAAGTCATTTAATGTTATATGTAATTAATTTGTCTTTGGTAATAGTAATCTAAATACGTACTCGCAGAACTCTTAACAGGGGGAGGTCTTTACTTCTTCATAGGAATTACAATTTTTAAATAATTTATTTGCAAGAATATGGTACAAAAAATGTCATGGTGGTACAATCTGAACTTCGCATATTCTGCCACACATAATGGCGTGCAAAAAGTATTTAAGAAGTTACAATTTCGTTATAGTCCATTCTTATATTTATTTATCACATTATTAAAATTTTTAGGTTTGTGAGGTAGTAGATAGCTCTGTATCTCCTCTGTATCTAATGAGCTAATTTTGAAAATTCTAGTACCAATAGAAAGCATTGCAAGCAATTTTGTGAGTGTCATATACATTAGACGTAAAAAATTAAAAGACTTTTATTTTGTAGTCGGATTTGCAAATTAAGTCTAAACGTTTCTTATAAACGCTACCTTAATAGACAGATATGATTGTGTTATAAAAAACAAGTCCTTCGCAGCGTCTGTCTGTTCGTGATAGACTCAAAAACTACTCCACGGAATTTATTGCATTTTTCACCATATACAAAATTATGTTATTTATTTAGTAAAATTAAATTTTAAACTTATATTATAAATTTATTTTATATAGTAAAATTAAAATTTGTAAGTTTCAAGATTTGTGTTTATATTTAATACAAGCCGCCTGTCCCGGCATCGCAATACATTTATTTTTTTGGGAATAAATATAGCCTTTTTGACTCAGGGATAATATCATTGTAATGGTAGATAATTTTTGTAATTGAGTTAATTAAAACATACAAAAAAAATATCTGCAGGTTTCCATTGTCTTCCACTCAGCAGCTACTCTGAAATTTGACGAAGCGTTACCGAAGGCAGTAGAACAGAATGTTCTCTCAGTTATACGATTGATGGATATCTGTGACTATTTACCTAATATCGAGGTAGGTTGACACTTTGCATAAACTGGGTTTGTTAGTTACTTAGGCACACCTTAATAATAATTCACATTGACATTCTAATGATTTCTTTTTTTTACCATAGACTATATATATGTACCTATATAAACGCATACTATATATATACTAAATTGTTCCTTTCAATTAGTGTTTACGATTTAGAAAATTTTCTTCGATTTATACATATAAGTACCATTTCGAATTGAAGTCTCGTTAATCTGGTCGCGAATTTTAAATCGAAAAGGTTTACTGACTTAACAATAATATGAGAGAGAGAATGCGTGTAGAGTGTGGGTGTGTATTTGTGTGTGTTCAACTGATGCCTGTGAGTTAAAATCGGCTTGATTTAGTGGCATTTAATGGCTGATAGTGTTTTGAAAGATATCATTAAAGATCTAGACTAGACTCTTGTGTTTAAAATAGTTATTGTTGTATAGTAGGTAGCCGATTAAATAATCTTTTTTATTTAATTAACTTACCTACGTTGTTCCTCTGTACCACATATTATGAAATGTTATTAATGATTTCTCTTTTCTGGTTACCATTTTCCTCAGGCCTTACTCCACGTATCGACAGCATATAGCAATCCTGAACAATTGACAGTAGAAGAAAAAATATACACTCCCACCACTCCACTTCCAAGGCTCTTGGCTTTGGTTGAAGCTGTGCCGTCTCCGCTATTAAAAGATATAACTCCACAGTACGTATTAGTTAATTATGATAGAGTGAGCCTTTATGAAAGATATTTTTTAAATTATCCAATGAATAACAGAATTTTCTGATGTTTAATCATCTAAAAAATACGTATGCTCCTCTCAAATTAATTAAAATATAGTAGAATCTGTATCCTTCTAAAATAATTATTAAAAATTATAATTTAGTTATTGCGATTAGTTAGTGAAAGCAAGAGTTTACCTTATTTAAAAAACGAAACCTACCAAACTTTATCGAAATTCAGGCATTTTAATGTCAAAGTTATAATTTTATTGTTGCTATACTTAATTTTTAACATTTTTTACAGATACATATACCCCAAACCAAATACATACACTTACACCAAAGCAATGGCCGAAGAAGCCATAAGATCACGAACTTCACGTCAATATCCTATTGCTATATTCAGACCAACAATCGGTAAATAACTATTGAAATTACCTTAATAAAACGACAATTACTAACCATGTTTTTAGTTTATTTTATAAATTTACCATTTGTATGCTCAAATAAACCTGAAAATGTTAAATAATCAAATATAATGTGTATATTATTTATTTCAACATAGATACTACGTATTTGCGTTGTTGTTCCCACAGTAACGTAGCTCCTGTTCCTTCATGTCTACTGCTCATAGAGGCTAAACGTGTTTCTTATTTATTTAATTGTATTATTATAATTAATTGCTTCAATTGTATTGGCTGCAACTGACAAACTTAACTAAAAAAAACTTGGTACTTAAAAGAGCGGCGAAGATTAAATTGACACTTTGTCGTCCGTTCTACGCTCTACGTTCTACGAGATCTTGATTGTGGATTTAGCATAGACGTAAGAAGCTTAGTATCGTTTTAAGATTAGTCTTCATATCTACAATAAGACATTAAAACACTTTTTTTCCAGTGGTTTCGTCTCTTCGCCATCCGTTTCCCGGTTGGGTAGAAAATTTAAACGGGCCTAGTGGGGTCGCTGCTGCAGCCGGTAAAGGCCTCTTGCATGTATTCAGACGGGATCCTACCAAACGGGCCGATTTATTGCCAGTGGATATAGCTATAGACACTTTATTAGCTATAGCCTGGGAGACAGCTGTAGATAAGTAAGTTTCACCTATCGACCACTAACAATCCACGCATCTTTCTTCAGTTGTAGCTAAAATATCATCAAACTAAATTTAAAATGTCCTTCGAAAATAAAATTATTTATGTCATAACTCCTTTTTCCCGAATGGGTTGGCAGAGACCACGTATCTCCATTTGCTACGATCCTGAGATACCTTTTTGCTTCGTCTACTTTCTTGATATTCACCATACATCATCAGGTTATGGGTACTTTTAACTAATCTCTACTTGTTCATCCGTTTCCGCTTCTCATTCATCCGTTATATATGGCAAAACACCGAAGCATTCCCTTTCGTATTCTTGTCACTACGTTGTCTTTTAACCCATACTACGACGAGGGTTGCTCATGAGGTGATGTAAAATTATAGGAGCATGCGACAGGCTTGACCAACTAACGCCAAACCAATATGCATGGTCACGTGACAAAGCGTGAGCTAATGACATTCTCATACAAATTATTTTGGTTTAGTGGGTCTCGCCTGTCATAAGGGGTAAATGTTTGTCTCAAGCACCAGGGCTACTTTGAGTATATTGTATCTTGTGTATGTATACGTGTAATTTGGTAAGCTTTTGTTGTGGTGGGGGAAAATTCACCCTTTTAATTTGAACAGCCTTGTAGAACGACTTGCACTAGTCTTGCCAACTTAGAATATGTTTCTTGACAGTTTTGTATTTCTATATTTCAGACCTACCCATGTGATGGTGTATAACTGTAGTACATGTGAAAATCCTACTAAGTGGGTCGAATTTGAAGATGCTTTACAAAAGTATCTTCCTAAATACCCCCTAGACGCTGCACTATGGTATCCCTCTGGGACTGGAGTTGAAAACAAGTAAATTATAATAAACGTATAACATGTGTGACAGTGTTCGTGACTAGGCATAATATATAATATAATAATGGAGATGGATTCCTACTGTAGATTACTACATTAAAAAAAGTTGTATATATTTTTAGCTCAATTTACAATATTAAATTGAAATTGGTTTGTTTCCATACGACCATTCCGATCCATATTCATCCATGCCTCGTTAGGATATTCGACTTGAAAATACCATATAAATTGCGTTATAATTAATGATAAAAAATATTAAAACTTGAATTATAGATTAGGTTCATGAGAATTAAGAAGGTGTTTGGTAATTAATAGCTTTCAAATTGTTTCTCTTTTAGATACGTTCACAAGACACTGGAGTTCACTCTCCAGACAATACCATTACATTTAGCAGAGTACATGCTTAAAATATTAGGAGTAAAAATGGGGTAAGAAAATAAGAAAATAATAAGACAATTTTTATATTCGGTTGTGGTTCTCTCATGTTTCTCTCATTCTCATATAAATGAAATATTCTAAATAACCTAGAATATATTAATACAACAACAAACTGTAGACCAATAAAAAAACTATAGATTAGTGAAAAATGTACTACTACATTTTGTTTTTTTTGTTTCAGCATAAGTTTAATAACGGCCGAAAAGAAAATGCGAGCGATGAACGATGTATTAGCATTCTTCGCTCTTAGAGAGTGGCATTTCCGCACGGACAATGTAAAAAAATTAAGGCAGAGACTTACACCACAAGATAGAGAGATTTATAATTTAGATCCACAGAGTATAGAGTATGCTTTATTATCAATGTATAATTTAATATTTTGGTCTGCTTGAAATCTGGATTAGAATCATTGCCTTTTTTTCAGATGGGACAACCACTATAAGGATTTTGTAAAAGGGACCAGAAAATATTTGCTAAAGGAATCAGATGAAAACATTCCCGTTGCGACACGACATATCAACAGGTTGGAATTCCTTTATTGAAAATATATAGGTTCTCTTTGAATATATTCAAATTTGTGGGCTATGAAATTGTGAATATCTGATAATATTAAATAATTATCCTAAATAAGATTTCTGTGCAATTCAAAAATACTACTACTGGCTGGCTGTAACAGCTGTAGTTATATATTTTATATGAAAAGGTTAGATTAGGGGCCGTTCAAGTATTACGTAAGGACTATAGGGGGTAGGTGGGGTCTTTGATTTTCTTATTTGGTGATTACATCAACAGCAATTATTAACTTTTTACACATATTACCCACACATTGTCTATGATTAAAAACTAAACGCATTTTCGAGGATTCCTACAAAAAATTAATACGTTTATGTAGGTACTTTTACTTTTTGAGAGCTTTGCTTTGCTAAATTTAATCAATTGCAGTAAATCTGCTTACGTAATAGGCACTTGAACGTGCTCCTAATCTAACCTTTTCTTAATCTTTTGACGTCGTTCTTCAAGAGTGTATGATCATAAGACAAAATATAATTGTTTTTTTTTTCAGGCTTTACTACGTTCACAAAGGTCTAATGTTATTTTCAATCATACTCTTCCTACGACTTCTGCTACAAAACAAGTTCATAAAAGAATTTGTATACGGAACTTTGAGGTTATTGCTAGCACTTCTTGATGATGGATATTCTTCAATAATGAGTTTCGAATGAAACGGATATATATATTTAAGTTTTTGCTCAATAAATTTCCTCAGTATTTAACATTTATCTACCTACCTAAAACATTTTATCCGTCCATGTAGCTTATAGCTATCTCGATAATTTTTGAATGTTAAATATTCATTTGACTTTATTTTATATTTACATTTGTTTTTAGACTTGTATTTAAATTGCAAATCATTAAAAACAATGACATGAAAACAAAGCGATGGGGTGTCGTAATAACTGTTACTTAAGAATATGATATTAAATGGTTAATTTGGCATTTGTTTTTTTATAAACATACATAATATAATATCGTATCCACTATAAATTAGGTTTGGCCATGTGCTTGCAAGTTCCTAAGGAAGGAGTATAATGTATATAACATTATACTCCTTCCACGATATGAAATAAAAAGTTTACGTATAACGGTATACAGATTACACACTCATGTTGAGTTTTATTTATAATCTTTTTGCTTATTGTCAATTGTTATAGTCAAGTTTGAGACAAGCATTAACCATCAGCTCATAAGTAAATTGTCAAATTGATTAATTTAAAATTTGGTATTTCAATAGCCGGTCGGAGCTATAAGCTATTGGATTTGCGTGTGAAATGCGTATAACGTTTTTCAATTTTAATAAGAAAAATGTTTAACAAAGTTCTACAACGAGCTCTAAAATTTCGTTTGAAAAAGAGTTATCCTACTAATATTTATGATTTGAATAGAGGAGCGGCGATCGCTGTTCGCCGTCCGTATAGCGATGAAGTAAAACGGGCTCAAGCTTCTAGCGTAGCAAGTCCGGGTCCAACTATATTCGACAAAATAATTTCCAAAGAAATAAAAGCTGATATAATATACGAAGATGATTTTTGCCTGGCGTTTAACGATGTTTCTCCTCAGGCGCCGGTTCACTTCTTAGTCATACCAAAGAAAAGAATTCCTAGATTGCAAGATTGCGAATCTTCTGATAAAGAGGTATGTGTGTATTAGGTATTTATGTGTCAGGGGCAGCGTTGCCAGAATCCAGATTTCTTTTTAGTCAAGTCGGGATTTTGGCATTTTTAAAGTGAAAAAAGCGGGATTCATTTGTCGAAAGCGGGACATAGTAAAAAAAATTAAATAATCAGAACCAATAGAAAACCAAAATGTCACATCTCTTATAACCAAAAGAAAAGTATAGACAATGGTGGATTGTTTATAAATTTCAATACATTTCACAAAACTTTAAATTTTTTTTTTAAATACTTTGACGCATTTCCGGCAGCTAAAATCACTTGGAGGTGTTCCAGTCAAGGTCCCCGAGACTCCTGCATAATCAGTATCATTAATTCCAACGCAATGTTATCCCACCCAACCCAAAAATCAAAATAAAAAAACTTTTTTTTATTAGAAAAATATAGCGTTTCAAACAATACTCTGAAGAGTGAGTGTTTGAAATTGCAACTTACAATAAGACAGTAATTATTTATTAAAATTACTTATTCATAATATTTCTATGAAGATATAACTTCTTTAAGTTTCATTTTTCTCTTTAAAAAACACGAAGAACTTTTTATAGGATAACTGCAGATTAAAATTGATGAGTAACTCTGATTTCATTCTATTTACGAAGCATTTCAAAAAGAAGACGTTTTGGAAAGTAGTTTGATGGTAGGATACTAATTAATATAAAGTTTGAAAATAATCCTGGCACTTTTTTTTGGATACTGTTGAATGAGTTGGTACCATTATTGTGTGATGGTCGTAGTACACACTTCTTATTGCCATCGAGTTATTCCCGAAAAGCGGGACTAAGCCTGTCCCGCGCGGGACGTTTCATTTTTATTTAAAAATCGGGACGTCTGGCAACGCTGGTCAGGGGTCACATTCCTTTTCCGGTCTTGATTGCCATAGACATTAAGAGATTTCCAATGGTGTAAATTATTTTAATAGAAAAGATTTAAAAAGGCCTTAAAGGCTTTGCTAATATAGTAATGTTATACCTTCTATCAAAGTTGTTGTTGTTACTGATTTATTTATTTTTTTTAAATGTGGAATAATCTGGATAAATTATCCTTTCAAAATTGATTATTGATGCAGATATTAAACCACACTGATATTTAGAATAAATGCTAAGTATATCATGTTAGATTCCATGGTATGTGCTAAAACATATAGGTACAACTATAACATTTCATATTCAAAGACATAAACTGTTTAATTTATAAAAACTTATCTATCAAGGTATATAGGCATAAAATATTGTTCTACAAAATTATACCTTATCACATAAGCTTAAAGATAATTTTACCAAAGTATGTACGTATATATGAGGTGTTTAATTATATGGTTATCAGAAATTCCATTAGTTTTAGTCATGTATCTGATTCTTATATTAAAGCTGTATTAGTTTATCTTCATTTGATTTTAGCCTTAACATTATAGTAAACTATTTAATAGAATACCTTCAATATCACCATATCATTGTAATATAAAATCTACAACAATCATGTACAACATCATGTAAACAAAATGTTCTTTTTCATTAAAATTAAATGTCCATAAGTAGGCATAATTTATTTATTTTATTTATTAGTTAAGAAGGGTTGCTATACAACAGTCAGTTTTAACTTTTCATAAAATCAGTAGTATGACCAAATTAATAGAAAAATTAAATTTCTATGTGTGTTTGTTTTTATAATTTATTTTTAGCAATCAACAGTTACTGATCATTTCCATTACTGATTTAAAGAATTGCTCATGTAGTAGGAATTCTTCTGGTGGTCTTATAAATTGTACTTGTTGTTTAACAGCTACTTGGTCATCTAATGATAGTTGCAAGGTCCCTTGGTGGAGAACGAGCTCCAGCTGGGTGGAGGTTGGTGATTAATAATGGCAGACATGGAGCTCAATCTGTCTACCACTTACATTTACATGTACTCGGTGGACGTCAGATGGGATGGCCACCTGGCTAAGTTGAATCATGAAAATGGAATAAGTAAGATGTTAATTAGGGTAAATAAAAATTGGCATATTTATGGAAATTTCAATATATATAATTGATTTTGAAGAAATGGATGTTTGGATGAACAGAGACCAATATAATTTGCTGTTACTAATGCATATAATACTACTCTTTTAATTTTTAACATAAAATTGATAGTGAAATGTAGGACAATATTGGAATGTTATCTATAAATTCTGAAGGTTAAAATTATTTATCTTGTTTGTTTAATGATAGAGCTATTTCTTTGCTTGAGAAACATGCTTCTGTCAATTTTACATAAATAAAATTCTTTATTTTGACTACATTCTGTAGTTTTAGCTTAGAGAATAAAAGTTTAATTCATTAACAATGTATACTGTTTGCCCCAATACTATGTAAGTATTTGTACCAGGCAGACATAAAACAATAAAGTGCGACCAGTCAATCTCTGGTAGGCAAAAATAAGCAGTAAAACAATTGCCTATAGGAAAAAATATTATTCACCATAGTAAATTATGAAATCTATTGATCTCCACCATGGATACATATAGCACTTCAAATACAATACAACTTTTTGGCTATTCCCATATAAGTTGTCCACTCTTTATTGTATAATATACATGCTCAAAACATACTAAAGATTTATAAGGCCATTTTAGTATTTAGTGCAATAAATCAGCCAAATTAGTATAAGGATTTTTATTTGCTATTGAATTACTTTAAATAATGTATAAAGTTATGTCATTTTTAATTATAATTATAACACTACAGTTTGATAACAGCCAGTGATGAAATCAAAATTTTGTTTACATTAATTTTACAAAATTTTCCTAGTGTTTCTTTAATTTAATATTTTGTGGGGAAAAATAATTTTAAAAGATACTGTAAAATATAGATCATGTTATAAATTCAATTGTTATTAGCTAGCTTAAAAATCCAAAAACAGACTGTAATTAGATGAATCTCAAAATATAACAGTCAGATTGAAAAACAAATCTAGTCATGACTTAGTCCTCTTTTTAATGAATGTTACTAATAAATAAATAAATATTTAAATAGTATTAAATAGACCTGTATAATTAAATACAAAAGTATAATTTTTAACCACATTGAGGGAAGGTGCAATATTTTCTATTTAATATTATTCTTAAATAAGATCAGTTAAAAATAATATTTATTTTTGAAGACTGGTTTGGAATTGACTATACATTATTATCTGGTTTCCATTATTTCGACGTTTCAAGTAATTTTAAAAAAGGTAGAAGTTTAAAAAACCTAAAATAACACCCCAACTTTTACCGAAATTACACTGTAAATTTATGTATATCTAATATATATATATACCTTATCCTATTGTGCCCATACATCAAGATTAAAATATATATTGTGTTCGCATCTTCCCTTCTTTTTAATCCATGCTATATTTATCATGTATTTATATTACTTTTAAAACGAAAGATAATTGTCTTTTTATATGGAAAAAATTTAATCTTGTTTTTTATTAGAAATATTCATTAAAATTTTCACAATCTGGATTAATAATTTCGCCACTGTGTGTTCGTCAAACTGTGGTATTTGTGGTATATTTAAAAATCGTTCAAAAATTTAATCTCATTTTGTTAATCCACATAATGTTACAAATTACATCGATGTTAACTTGTAAGAAATTAGGAACTATTTTTTGTAATAATATTAAAAATAACTTCTAATTATCATACATTTACAAATTTGTATGCTAAAATAATTTAAAAAAGGGGAAAACTAAGTATAGAATGGTGGTAAAAATATTGGTTGTGGGTGCAGACAAATAAGTTTCAAACGTTTTTGTAGAAAAATGTTGAGAATCAATTTGTATCTTGCTCTTGAGAACGTTTCGAATTTAATTCTGTATTAAATTCTGTAACCAACTACAATAAAGTTTCGTTTTACCTATTTTAGCTTTATTTATATCCCAATTTAAGATAAAATCATATACCCAAGGTATAACATTCTTTTATAAAACGACGTCATGTCGATAAATTTATATATCTCTCTCTCTGGAGGCGGACATTCTGTTTTCACCGGTTTCTTTCCAGCACCTCTCTTATAACATTGTATAGTTTTGAGGACGATGAGTATTTCACTTGATGGGTCCAGGGAGCGTTCAATTATTACGTCACGCAATTTTTGGATATTATTGACCCTCCCCCCATGTAACGCGTCGTAACGTTTTTCTGTACACATATATAGTGAAACGTTTCTTTACCTAAAAGTTACCATTATGTGGTGTAAAGTACTGGAAAGTCGAAAATAATATTAACAATAACGCGTAATTCAGTCCCCGCCCCGCATCGTAACGTTTTATAAAAGCCCCCCAAAATTCGTTACATAATACTTGAACGCTCCCCCATCTGGTTGGGGAACGGCCACGTGATCGTTTGCCTTGTTACCAACCACTATCAGTGTCTCCAAGTTCTGATCGCTTCTGCAAAATTAACATCCATAATAAACGCTGTATGTTGCGGGGGTGACACAATTAGACGGAGGACTGTGGAATACATATGAAGTAGGTGCAGCGCCGGCTTCACAAGCAGGATTACTCGTTACACAAGGGACATTATAAGAAACATAATGGTAATTACATGATACACAAGAAGCAGGGGGATTACACGATAAACACTGAGTAGTAGGGGACTTACAAGTCTGAATACAATCTACAGGAGGGGTGGATGGCAGATAGATACGTGAATTATAAGCCAATAACGGACCCGTGGCCTCTAACGCAGATGTAAAGACGGTAGGTAATGTAGCATCAAGTAGGGAAGGTAAGGCAGATGACAATGATGCAGAAATCGTAGAAGACAGCAACGAAGGAAGGTCCGGTGAATCCATACTAGGACATGAAGGGAGAAATAGGCCCAGTGACGGCGATAGGTTGAATGTCGAAGCTGGCTGTAGACATTGCGAGAATGCTTGCTGAAAAATAAAAGATAATGTTGGATTAAGACTTGGTACAACATAACATATATTGGCATTGGATGGTTTTTATGTGATAGTATGTGGTATACATATACCAAGTCACAAGTAGGTATTCATCTATTAAATAAATAATTAATAAACAAAACATGTATCACAAACAATCTTTAATTAAATAAGCCTGAATTGGGAGTTACGGAGTTTTGTTTTTAGTTCTTAATCTCCCCAATGTTGATACTGGGTTACGGGGTTCAGCCAATATGAAAATATTTTTAAAATATAATTACTCACCTGCAGCATAATAAAACAAATTGCTCCAAATACAATCATGTCACTCACGATTATCGGTTAACCGATGCTCTATATTCTATTTCTTATCAAGTTAACGTAAGTTTTTACATAATTTTACTATTTATTACGTACTTCTAAGGTTTCATAATATAGGTTACTTTTACAACCATGATTAACCTTATGTCTATTATCTATCAGGTATTACTTCATATTTTATATGAAAACTATTTTAATTAAAGCGATATTCAAAACATTTTTTAACCTCAAACAGAAATGTGTTCTTGAGACTTTATTTTTACATATTGTATCAAATCTAAATCCAAATGATGAACCCCAATGAACAGCCAATGCGAAACAATAACGACTGGTAGGACTTTTACGACATTTATAGATCACATTGAATATGATGTACTACGGACCTGCGATCCAATCTTTCAAACAAACATGCTAAATGAATGATCAAAGCTAATTAAACTTAAAATACTTTAAATCAATGGAAAATAGAAAGCATTTATGTTTCTTTAAAAATAACGTTGTGGTTAATTTGTCTATTTGGCAGAACTCGATGTGATAAGTGATTGTAAAACTTTGATCTTGTGTACGTTTGGTGTTCGTCTAATCAAGATAATTAACGTGATTGTATTTATAATGAGAAGTAAACAACCTGGCGATATTCATATTCGCCATTGGAAGTTACCATCTCTAATAGCGATCCGATGTTTTTGTATGCAATTTTGAAATATTTCTTTCAATAGCTGTAGTCTCCTCTGTATAGCGCAATATAATAAAACATTAAAGTCGGACCGCAATTGCTATTGGGAGTTCAATAAAACCGGAGCTGTCTTTGTCTAGTCTAATAGAAAACGTTTTCAGTAAAACAACAATAAAACGGCATCCGTACAATATTTATTTTAACTAAAGTCATATATTAAGATTTCAATTATTATATTAGGCGAAATACACGGTATTACTTTTGTCAGAATATGACATACACAGAGAATCGACCACAGAGTAGATACAAAATTAATATTAACTCACACATGCCAAAATTATAAATTTATATACTTAATTAGGCGCGTATACGTACATCAGAAATTTTACTTCAATCGAAACATAATCCTTGTGTTTTGTTTTGCATAGAATAATTAATAAAAAATATACTTTATAGAGTTAGGCCCTATGGTTTTAACCATCGTGAAAACTTAACTCTGCTTTTATATATATATTTGATGGAAGTTATTATTCAACTGATAACACGTTCATACACTTACTACTGCCGAGTATGAGTTGACGTGACAAAAAGAAACCTAATATTTAAATTTTAATTCCTGGAAGTTCAGTATTCAGTTCATGAAAACTTTTTAAATCTAACATAAAACATAGTTTAAGGGACCTTTGCAAAAAAATATTAAGTGAGGTACATAGTGTAGGAGCCGCCACTAGAACGCCATATTATACTTGACACTTGACAGTCTCCCATTTAAAAAGTCAACGACGTCATTAAATATGACAGGTTGATACGTCAACTGTCTAGGGGTATGACAAATTCATTAGCCAAATAAAAATTCATAGAATAATGCATTTTATAATTGCATTTCCATCTCGACATAAAATTGTATTTGCACAGTCACATTATTAAACATTAAAAATTCAATATTTACGCGACTTAAACTTGTTTGTGGGATTAATTAAGTCACGTTTATATTGTTATATTATTTTCAATATATATTAATATATTATGTCTTATTTTTAAAGTCGTCAAGACGTAATTTTTAAATCTAACACGAATTAGCGTATTAAGCGCTAGATTATTCTAGAACGTTTAGTCATAATATAATAACATACAGCGTTAGATAGCAATAAGGATACAATTTTCCCAGAACAAAAACGTCTTAACCGCCATGAAATTTACGGGTCAATTTTTATAAACTTAACGTAACAATAGCGAAATACATACTTATATACATCCAACAAGACATGACGATGTGACTTCACGCGGGTTGTACGACATCAAAAATTCGTTAGAAAACACATGTATATTTCTCGTCACAATAAGCTCATATTCAGAAACAAATTTCAAGTCAATAGTTTTAAGTACTGTCATAAATGTCCCGCTTCATAGCGAAAGTACAATTTGGAGGGTGGTGAATAACCTAAGTGTTCTTCAAGACCTCGGTTTCTTTGTGCGAAGGCGAAGGCCAAGGTTGTTTGCGATACCAAGGGCCAGAACCAGTCTGTTGCACAGAGCCCCATTAATCAAGACGTTGCACCTATTGAATGCTGTCTCCGACACAATCGACATCTTTATATGTTCGAGTGAGTTCACAGTAGCGATATTGTGTACCTTATGTATTTAATATTATATATATATTATATTTTGACATTATCGTACTGACTTAGTATGTATTTTTGTTAATAAATAAATAAATTTGACAGGTGTTTAGATAAGCAAGTTATCTTGTAAAGCTTTACGAGATAAATGAAACAAAAAGAAACATGCAAAACTATTATGAATAACGAAGATCCAATCACGTAAATATTGATATTGGCCATTTCGAACTTAAATAAATAGTTGTACGTTAAATAACCTTTGCTTTAAACACAAAACTCATTGTTAAAAAAATCGCCAAAAACTTTGAGTATATCCATAAAATTATCTGATTTCTTATAAATATTTTTGTCAACCGTGTACCCGTATATTTAAAGTACCCTCTCAATTAATTTGCAACTAGCCTACGCGAGATACGAATAAGTGTCGAGGTTTCCTGGCGACCTTTCCAAATACTGTTTATCGATCAGTGCCTCTATACACTTCTTGATCATGGCGACAGATGGTGCGAACGAGCCTCTAGCTTGAGAAACCACTTCTTGGATCAGCTCCGTGTGACGTAGGACCTGAAAATATATCTTATTTATTACAGATGACACGTGCATTGATAATTTTTTATAATGGTTATAAGTGAAAAAATTACATTAATCTATATAAGCATATTATTAATTTTCTATATTCAATGGAAGACCTCTCTAAAGCCTCTAATAATTCATTCATCATTACCTGTAATATGTAAACTTGTAAAAATTTAAAGAGACAAATCAACTATATTATTATTAATTAGAGCTTTGAAGCTTATATAGTAAATTTTATAACCCTAAATCGCTATGATTTCCGATGTAGACAAAATGACTGACAGTAAAAAATTATATAAAATATAATTATCTGAGTAATATTTTTAAGTACTGTCATAAATTTCTTTCAATGAACCGATCCACAGACTTTTTAAAATATAAATCTTTGGGATTCCATCCGTTCATATATGAAGCTTCAATAACTTTAATCTAAATAGATTACCACTGTGATTTAGTCCTGTATTAAATATTCATCATTATTATTTTTTATAGAACTAACGGGCAGGAGGCTCACCTGATGTTAAGTGATACCGCAGCCCATGGACACTCTCAATGCCAGAGGGCTCGCGAGTGCGTTGCCGGCATTTTAAGAATTGGTACGCTCTTTTCTTGAAGGACCCTAAGTCGAATTGGTTCGGAAATACTTCAGTGAGCAGCTGGTTTCACAAAGTGGTGGTGCGCGGCAAAAAATGCCTTAGAAAACGCTCAGTTGTGGAACGACGGACGTCGAGGTGATACGAGTGGAATTTCATCATAATTTAATATTAAGTTTTTCAAATCTATAAGCAAAACAAATGATTTAAATTACCTTTCTTTGCTTCATAATGCGTACAACAGCGGCTTGTAGGTACATTTTTCTATCATCATCGCAGTGAGTCGATTCACTGGATGATCCTGCGCCAGGGCCAGTACCACCTACGAAAGTAACCAAAAATTCTTTCAAATATACAAAAATCAACAAGTTACCAAGCTTACCACTTGCTGCTTACAACAAAACACAAGTTTCAAGTAATTAAATGTACATACAGTTATAGTAACGTGTTATTTTGAGTATTTTTTTTTGTTAATTGTTTTTGTAAATTTTGTATTCTACCCTCTGTAGGTGTTTCTTTTTCATTGTTGCACATTAGGGTTGCCTGGAAGAAATTAGGCCGCCCGTTGTCTTATAACTTTTGTAACCTGCTTTTTTATTTTTGTTATGTGTATGTTTTTGAATAAGGTAATAATAATTATAAATAAATAAATTTTAGGATGAACTCAGGACATTTTATAATTAAAATAAATATGAATTTGTAAATATAATCATGTGTCTTTCCTGTTATAGGTATAACCTTTCTTCAGCGTTAGACTAAAGCGACCAACATTTAAAATATTTTAATACCATGAAATTAAACATAACCTCAAAATCTTACCTTGATTCGCCGGTGCAGCAGCACAAGTCAGCCTTATCTTCGTCCGCTTGCAGGTGAAGGTGAGATTAAGAAGAAGTTCCGCCTCTTCATCGGCTCCTTCCACATCTCCCTTTGAGATGAGCAGACCGGCTTCGACCAGCGGGCGGACGTGTCGGGCCCAAGCTTCTTCTGGGAGTTGGAGAGTTTCGCGTGCTTCCCTGGCCCGAATAGAGTCGGTGGTTTCGAACATTAGGAGGAGGGCGCACTGGGAATAAAGAAAGTAGGTCTTTAGGTAGGACCAGGTAACGTGGGTTGCAACGCCCTTCTCTTTTCTTTCAATCTCTTTTTGTTTTGCATGCAGTGAATTAATAAGGTAAAATATATAGTTCTCTTATATTATTATTGTATATTCTTATCTATTTAATTCATGTATATTATCGATTAGGTAAGCTGTTTAAAGATATCTTTAGCGCGCGTTAGGGAAAAATGATGAGAGTAAATTTTTACGATGCGCGTGCACAACTTCACAAAAAACCGACACCCTGAAGTTCGCATAGTCAACATTTTAGAATAGAAAATGTTAATTTCTTTAATTAAGTAGAAATATTTTTTTTGTGATATTTAAATAAACTTTATGATTAACACAGATACAAAAGTTAAAATTAATTCGCTTCATAAACTTGGCTATATTCTCAAAGGGCTAATTTTTTGGACACAAATTTATGAATATATAATCTAACTTGTATTTTTATTATTTATGAAGCGAATTCTTTTTTTTTGTAAAATTTATGTTCACCGTAATTGTCATGTAGAATAGATAGATTATAACTTATACTGTAGAAAATGTTACATATGATATGGTATACTTTAAATCAAATAAATAAAGGCTAAATAGGCATCTCCAATAGGAGGTTGACATCAGGTGGGATTGTGGCCAAACATTTGCCCAGTTCTGTATAAAAAAAAACTAACCTGAGGTGTAGTAGCATTTATATGGTATAACCGTTGCGTATATCTCGTCCTCAATTCTCCCGTACATAAATGATGAAGCCAGGCCAGCCGTCTACCGGAGAACGACGCCCGGTAGAACGTCTCGAATAGACGGGCCGGTCTTTCCAATTGCGCTGGAGGGGCTAAGGGAGCCATTGCTCCACCTAGAGGCCACGCTCCGGCTTGAAGGACCTTAAATTTTAAATTGTTTACTTGGAGATGTAGCATGTAGTTAAAACGCTTTTAATGACAAATTATATTTTTAATCCATTGGTGCTGTGGGATTCGTTGACTCTTTCATTCCGGCCCGAAGGATCTTCGACGTGGCCAATAGAATAATTTCAAGTAAATTGAGCAAGAATCCTTTTTAGACATTTCGTTTAAGACAGTAGGAAACTACAAAAGCAATGGTCGCCTGAACATACTGGCGTGGCTTGAGATGATAAAAATAATTTATTCTGCTTTAAAAAATTTCTTATTTAATTAGTAATAAAGTGGCAAGTCAGAGCAGCATACAAAATATTTAAATATAAATTACCTGTATGAAGAAACCAGTGTTCGTAGCTAAGTTATTTTCCCTCAAATATTGTTGGAACTTAGTATTAAGGTCTGTGGACACAGCGACATCGGTGAACATTCTGTGTAATTTATTTGTAAACTCGTAGCCACAAGCCGCTTTGAGCCTGTTAATCATCGCCTCCTCCTGGAAGGTTAAATTGGATATAAAATCAAACATGTAACCAATTATCAAATGTTATTGATTTAAATTAAAATAAATCAGCATAAAGTTCAAATATCATTAGGCAAGTATAGTTTGTATTGATTCGTCAAGACGTTTAACATTATTTATTAAATGAACATATTAAAACCATTCATTAATAATATTGTATAAAAACTAAAATTAATTTATATTGCCTAATTTATATCCTCAACCAATCTAAAAAAAATTTTTTTTTTAAATGGAATCCCCTGTTGGGCCTTTCCAGCTCAGCTCAGGCTGTTTTCCCCGCGACTAGCGCTAGGACGTCTCCTGCGAGACTCGGATCACGGCTTGGGCCATCGTGGAGTACCATTCTACCACGGACTGGCCGTTGTATATATCCTGAGCGCTTGGAATAACTTCGTTAACGCGTTTCAGGGTATGACGTCATAGCAGTGATTTGTAAGCCCAAATTGTAGGTATTGCTACAATATTATATATGTTAAAAAAATATTTTGATTATATATATTTCACTGAACGACTTTCGTTTTACCTTCGATAAATCTATCAAAAAATAAGGCTATGAGATCACAATACTTTGACAATTTACAATCGCGATTTATTTATCGCGAGTTAGATGAGTATAATAATCTTACTATATTAACGGTCAAATCAATAATAATTTTATCCTACCTGCTCCATAGAAGCAGACAGTTGGTGTATGAGTCGACGTGCGAGCGCACGCGCATAATGTTTCTGAAATACGTCCTTATCGTCGATGTATTTAAACACCACTATGGCAGCTGTTAACTTGTCATCTGCATCTCTGAGAATAAGATTTTTTCTAGTTAATGGAATGAACCAATTAAAAAAGAAATAACTCTTCCTAGAGTCAGTTTTGAGGCACACATTGAACCGACGACTTTAATTAGATGCGTATAGAACAGTATTTTCTTTTAATAAATCTAAAATACGAAAGAAATTACAAAAAAGAATTATCTGAAGACTGTACTGTAAAGTTAATTTAAAAACCTATAATTATTTTTTAATTACATTTGCTACCAATAAATAACGTGGCATCAACTTTCTTGCATTGACGTGACCATTCAATACGAGTTTGAACATCTGAGTCAATACATAGGTACATTTAATTGTTATTGAATTTTATTCAATGTGGTGCTCCAAATTAAAAGTGTAGTGGAGTGATTCATTTTAATTAAATTAAGTTCCCTTTTCTTCACAAACAGTAAAAACGCACAATTAGTAAAGATAACATTTTTTTAAAAGGTTTACGAAACCTGGAAGTAGTAGGCAGATGCCAGCTAAAGAATAAAATAAAGTAATTAATTTTAATTCGATATATTGTTCGTGGTATTTAAATATTTGTTATTTTTGTATTAGGTCACTTGAGTAAGTAAATGTTTAGATTTACCTTTTTGTAGGTAAAACATAAAAAATACATTTGCATTGCATTTATTTATTTTATTGCCCTTAAATGGGTCAAATTAGTCCCTTTTTCGGTGAAGAACTTTTTTAGTAGCAACACTTATGAAATGTCAGTTCAACGGAATGAAAAATCTATGGCGCTAATTATTTCCCAGCAGAAAGGGAAAATTAAATATACAAAAGACAATTAATTGAAACAAAGCAAAATTCTTCAAATTCAATCCAATAAAACCATAAAACCTTACCTCTCGGATCCCTTTCTCCTCAATAGTGTATCGCAGTAACGGGATAACAATTCAGGAGCACGAGCAGTAGATTCACCTTCGGCACGCGAATTCACAACTTCACTACACGCCTGAAAATATTCATTTTTATAAAAGCAAAAAAACCTCAAAACTTGAAATTATTTATTTAATTAATTGTTAATAAAACAATAACTAATTAGTTGTTAATGTTCTTTTTATTTGTGCCACCTTTTTAGTAGCTAGGTTCATACCAACATATGGAACATTTTGCTATGCTTTACATAGAGTTAAGTTAAGTAATCTTAATATATATAAATCTCGTGTCACGTTGTTTGTCCGATATGGACTCCTATACTACTGAACCGATTTCAATCAAATTTGCACACCGTGTGCGGTTTGATCTAACTTAAAAGATAGGATAGCTTACATCTAAATTTATACCCGCAATATTATTTTATTGCAAATTATTTGTTAATTATTTGATAGTCACAATTCTAACAGATGGCGCTGTGTTGAAAGTACCAACGTTTCACATAAGCTACAATTTAATGGCATTATAACCAAAAAAGCATGGTGGTCCCCATGACTGGTGTCCTCCTACCGTTTCCCTTGAATAGGTTACTACTATGTAATATAACAAAAACCTTAGCCACAGCAACGCTTGGCCGGTCTGCTAGTAATACATATATTTCATACAGTACAAACATTTATTAACATTGTTGTACGAGCCAAGTCTGTATATTTTGCTCACTCAGGCTTTCTTAGCTTTATAAGCGTGGCGATTTCCTAAATCGTAAGCACTCCCTTCGACTGTTACGTTGCTTTCATTCGTTACATAGCAATTAACATTTCATAATTTTGCTTATATTCTATTGTGGTATGTTTACCAGTCGCGTAGACTGGTAAATATAGCGTAAAACTAATATTTAAAGCACCCTGATGACCCAGGTACCGTACATTTTGGTCCTTCGAACCGGATTAAATTACATTTTAATTCAATGATTTTGAAACGAGTTTTTAGGTTTTTCCATGCAATTTTTCTCCCCATATAAACCTTCCTCATAGTTCAAAGAATGAATAAAAAAAATACTCGAATTGTCCAACCGAGTTTTAAGTTTTATAACATATTTTGCAATTCATTTTTATTCATATAGATGTATGATTTGCAGAAAAAATAAAAGAAGTGAAAAAACAGATCTATGAAGCCATGACAACTATATCAACTTGTACCTTATCCAGAGCTCCTATAAACGGTTGAGCCCCTCCGAAGACTTCGGCAAATAGTTTCTTATATTTACTGTGCAGAGACAACATCGAATGTACGAAATGTGTGTGCGCCTGGAAAAAAGGAATTTAGATTTTAGAACTGCTATTTGAATTCATAAATAAATCAATTTTAGTCCACTCTTTTTGCTAACAACTTTTCTCTCAGTCAAATTATGTTTACGCTGTGATGAAAAAATACCAGAAATTAGAGATTATATTGACACCATCCTGTACGTGTTTGAATATAATTAATCCAAAATCAGTGGCGCTACCTTTTTTTTAGGTCTAGTTCAGATTTCTGTATCTGTTTCAGCCTCCTGTGCCTGACACACATCGACTTTTTGGGTTTAAGGCAAGCTGGTTTTCTCACGATGTTTTCCTTCACCGTTCGAACGAATGTTAAATGTGCACATAGAAAGTCCATTGGTGCACAGCCGGGAAGCTACGACCTCAAGGATGAGATTCACACGCTGAAGCCACTAGACCAACACTGCTTTGAATATAATTATTATAATATCTTATCAGCAAAAAGTTCATGGCATTTGTTATGACTGGTTGTCGTCAAATAATATTTAAAAATATTCTGACATACATTGATTGTTACGAGTTCTACAATACTTACTTCATCCTTGCTATGTTCAGCTGCCAACATAGCGTGTCCTTCCTTAGCGGCTTGCACATGCGCAGCCTCTATCAATGGACGCATGGCGTTCTGACCCAACGGTTTGAGTAGCATGAACATACGTTTTAGATCTTCGCGCCGCTAAAAATATTTTAGTAATTAATAAATTTGAGGTAAGCGATGTTTCCGAATCTGTTGAAAATTTACGATTCCAAAGTGCTTTGTAAACGTTAATTTAAATAAATATTTGACTTATTAATTACAAGTAGCCCGAGTTATGTAACCTAACAATAGTTGAGTTACATATATATTATATTTTAGTTAATAATTAGAAGCGCAAACCAATGTTATCAATCATCGTACACTTGAAGCCAAAATGAGCTCTTTAGTTTGTCCCCACACTCATAAATTGTAACATAACATTCTCGTTTCCGATAATGTCCAATAGGTCGCCTACGCTTATATTCTTTATAGGTAACATAAGTGTCACTTTTTGAAGTTATACTTCTTTTGGCGCGATGGAGAAAAATGATGAGAGTGAATTTTTACGATGCGCGCGCACACCGACACCTAAATTCTACATCGTAAAGTTAGTTCTAGATGGCATGAAAATCGATAATAACAGCTATGTTCAAGTTGTATATTCTAGTATTTTTATATTTAGAACACGTGTTTCGTAACAGTACAATTAAACAGTGTGAATAAATCAATATTATTTTGGTGTTTTTATTAAATCAATTTCATATTTGACGGTGATAGTATTTACTAATAATAATTTATTATTTATTTTTTCCATACGCTAAAGAAGTATAACTTCTAACGCGTGTACATAAGTACACACACTCTTTTTTTTATGATTGATCTGATTTAAGTAAATAAGTCAAGTAAATTTTTATAAATCCATTGGGGGTTGCGGCATCCCCCATTTCTGTCAGTTATAAGCTCACGTTTGAACAAAGTTTAGAACAGCTTTAAACAAAGTTTAATTTAACATACATTTAAACATCCCTCCAACAACTGACTGTACATATTTTAAAATATTCTTAAAATAAATATAGCCTATGTCAAAACCTAATAGGGAAGTAATTTTGAAATTTGTCTAATACTTTTCCCGTTATTTTTGGCTTTATAAAAGCCCGTTGACGTTGAAAAGATCAAGGGCTACGATTCTATATATAACATATATCTTTAAATACATAAAAACAAAATGTATCTGGGCGTGAGTTTGTAATTAAACTTCTAAACGGCTGGACCGATTTTGAAGAATTTTATTTATGGCGTCTAAACGGGCCAGGTTTTGCTGCAATTGATGGCTGCACTGTTGGCAACTAATTGTCCGGCCATTACAATAATATTTTAATGCAGCTGATGGCCGAACAATCTATGGCTGGGCAATGTGTTGCAATATGTCTGCAATAGTATGGCCCATGATGCAGAATCCTAAACGGGCTACACAAACCGGCAACAATGGCTGACGAAATCACACTTGTCACAGCAGCTTATATTGTTTTAAAAAAGAAACAGAAAATGAAGAGTTTGTGGATTCGACCTTCCTTAAATAGGCGTGAAACTGTAGAAAATCTGAGTCTAGAAATAAGCCTTGATAATAAATTAATCAAGAACTGGAATGTCAAAAGCAGTAATTTTTACGTAGTAACCTAACGTCAAAATGAAGCTGATCGCAAAACACAGAATATAACAACAGGCGCACTTCACTCATAGCAAACGTCATGTCGCGTAGAAAAGGATACACTGTGCCATAACAAAGAGAGTGACTGAAACAACAATAGAACTGGCTGTGCAATATTGCAGTTGAATTCGATAGCCTAGCGATCGTCCGGCCACCCATCGGGGCAACATCGGCCATATGTGGCTATACAAAACATGTTTGGCTATATGGCCGGGACATTACTGCAATATTGCATAGTGTGGCTGCTATTGTTTACAATGTTGCCGGGCCACAGTGTTGCAGCCATCAATTGCAGCAAAACATGGTCTGTTTAGAAGCGCCATTATATTGATGCGAGAATAGTTTAAATTTTTTTTGACAAATAAAGGGTGTTTTTATACTCAAGATGTGCGTACGGGACATATAGGTAATCTTTTTTATCATAAGGCTTCTAAATTTACGAAATACGAAGACAATTGTTTATCAAATTTAAAAAAAGTAAATTTTGTTACATAAAATCACTACAATTAAAGATAATAATACCTCAGCAGCTCTTGGCGAATCTTGACAAGCTTCTTTCAAAAGTCGTTCGACCTCTGCATGCAAAGCCGGCAAATGCGAGGCCACGCAGGCCTGCTCATAGCAAGCACGAACCGCCTCGGACGAGGATGAGTGAAGGAATTTGTTGCCTAGGACTATTTCTCTTGCAAGACCTGTATAAATTATAGAGTTAATTTCTAAGTGCTCGCGTTTGACGTTGTCTTCACAGTGGAGTAACGAAAAAGAACGCGTCAGAAAAACTCCCTATTTTTATCTTCAATATTTATTGAGAAAATAAGTTTAAAAAAATCAGCTATTTTTGTATTCTCTTAATTTATGAGGACGACAGTGCGTCTGTAAAAATAATGTACAGTAAGTAATTAGTATTCGAACAACCACAGAGTACACAATATACCTAGACAAATTAGAACACGACAACTTTATTATAATAAAATAAGATAAGCTGTTTATTAATAACTTAAATAAATTAACTTAAATTTTCATATTTTAAAAAGTCGCTTATCAGTAGGTATTTAAAATAAACGCTTAATTGCAATTTAAATTATACTTACCATCCAACACATACTTCATGAAATAGGAAACATCCCCAGAGTTAAGTAATTCGGCGGCGCGCCGTGAGTGATGCGCGGCGGCCGAGCTTAAAAATGGTTCCACCACTAGTTGTTGGTAGAGAGAAAGGGGTGTACGGAGCCGGAATGACTGTAAACAGTTATTAGGCATTTATTTCGAGGAATTTTTTTATTGTTGATCGTGAAAGTTTAAACCGTTGATATAGTACTAATCTATTACGTAGTAGATTAGTTTATAATGTTTATTTAATCAAGTGTTTATTTATTAAAGTTCACCACATCACATATAAACTATAACTATGGTAAACATGAATATTAAAAAAAAAATTGTTAAAAATTTTAAGTTTTTTTTATGTCACTTGCCAACATTGCACAGTAAAAATTTTTTCAACACTTTCGGATAGTTGGGCGGTATAGTAATTTTGAATCCATGTAGGATTTATTTAATGATATTTTTTAGGCTATTTGGGTATGAATTTCTGTCTTTTTCAGCGTTACTAACAGTAAAGTGAAAGTGAAAAAAATAAGTCATAGTAATAGCACATGACAGGATGCATAACATTCACTTGTTTTTTGAATGGACATTATCATAAAATGTGACATTACTTTTTCTTAATTTTCTGTGTCTATGTCTACTTGCCCTGTCACCCGATATCGGTTAGACGTTGACTTATGGGACACCTGTCATCAATGACATTGAAAGATATAATAAATTAGCGTTTATATCCGTTAAACGTGTTATGTATGACACACCCTACCTGGACTTCCACCATACTGTGAATTGCAGTCTTTAGTATTTCAGCTGCCGCGGGATCCGGGTTTGATTCCCGCGCATCGTTCAATGCTCTCACTATTCGGGCCGTCATCGGATTTGACAGGGGCTTTATTAAAACCCTCTCCCATATTACTAAGCCCAATTCACCAACCTGCAAAAAGTATTAAAAAAAACTATAAAGGTTGAAATTTAAAGAGTTATAATAGCCTATTCAATAATTTATTAGTTACAACTCACATAAGAATTATGTACATACCTCCAATTGCCTTGCATCATGTTCAAGAAAACTTATAGCAGCTGAAGACCCATAGATTATGTCTGCATCTGACACCTAAAATAAAAAATTTTTTTGAAGATAGAGTTCTTAATTAAAAGATTATATAATTTAGACTACAACTGTAGCATCTAGTCTATTTCACCCGATTACTATATTAAAATACAACAATTTATAAACAATAACAAGATCCTACAATACACGCTATCCACACTTTAACACACAACAAGTAAGCTAGATTCAGTGTAGATGATTAAATGTCAATGACAAAGTCGGTCTTAGACATGGGCTGTCATATTTCTGAATTTAATAAAGCCTTTTGTTGCCATATCACAAATTTGCTTCTAGTTAAATTTAAAGCTAAAAGATTATTTTATAACTTCCACCATTTTGTCAAAAATATCTCGCTATCCTATGCTAATTCATAATTGTCGTTTAATCTACAAGCATAACATGAGAACATATTCACTTTTCGCTTTTTTATAACTTATCTCATTGACATAGCAGACTAAACATATATTCTTTAAATATTTTGTAATAAACATACCTTTTGTCGTTTAATATGCTGTAAATTTAGATACGAATATAAACTGTTAAGGTAAGCCACGCCTTGGCTGTATTCTCTCCATGCCGTGACATATCTTAAACAAAATATATGATTATAATAATATAGAAAAGCTTCCTGTTATTTTTTAAATAAAAGAAGAACAATATATTGTTAGTGTATGCTCTTCCTAATCTGTTATTGAATTCAATAACACTGAGTATGTGATTAGCCTTTAACTCAAGATTATGTTCAGCAGAAAGTGGTTAAAGAATCTTTATTTATTTTCACAAAAACTAGTAGTAAGTTAAAATATTTAAAATTAATGTTTTATCCATTATATTGTACATATTTCAGCCAGTAAAGATTTTCATTTCAATTTTGTTTTTTTTTTTCAGTATATTGTAACAAAGAGAAGAAATTAACTTACCTACTAAGCAGTCCGTCATTGTAATCAGTACTATCTAAAAATGCTGTGGCTTTAACTCTGTCTAATAATCGTAACACATGCTCTTCCAAGAATTTTCTGAAACAAACCATGCTGTTATATATACATATCTTGGTTATCATATTAATTAGAAATAAAATTTTTTATATGAAATCAATAAAACTAAAAAGATAAGATAAGAAAGAATATAGGAAAATTTAATCTAAAATTACTTTGTAGAAAATATCTCACCTGGTTTCATCATACAGTTTATCAGCGTGGGGTTCAGGGTGTGCAACACATAAAGCATAAACATCAGAGAAACGTGAATTCCATACTGCTCGTTCAATTGCTTGTAGACCAACAACGCCTTCTACCTGTGATAAAGCTAAGCTTTTAAAAATCATAAGGCTTTAATTGAACTTATTGCAAAAAAAATTCCATATGCTTTATTCTTTTTAAGAAAACTAACGTTCATGACAGGTTTTATTTCACTGCAAATTGGATTATGGTGTATTATTTCCATACAATGGAATATTTTTGAATCTCTTGCTAAATATGTTGTAATTGATTTTCTCCCTTAAGTTTATGATAGATGCTTTTCTATAGAATATTATTTCCAGGTATTAGATACATTTTTAGTACACACCTTTATACTTCATATTAAAATTAACTGTAGTTTATAAAATAAATACTTCTTACAGTCTCTCTGAGTTTAGACCAGGTCTCATCAAAATTAACTTCCTGAGGTTTCAGCGACATCATTTAAGCCACCTTCATGTACCTGGAGCAGTATTTTACTCAATAAATAAGTTTGAGATGTAAACTATTACCATGAAGCTACTTAGTTAGTAGATTTCAACTTTAAGTAATCTAAATATTTAAAATATATCTAGTATCACAAGGTTTAATATAATTAATTTATCAAGATTTTGTTAATGACCTTAAAGTATGTTACATTAAGATCTTTATGTATAGCTGAGGCAAACGAATAGGCATGTATACTGCATGCACATTTGTGGTAAAATCTTAAAAAATTATATACAACTTCTTTAATATACAGCTTAATTTTAGGGAAATATATTAATAAACACTTCACTATTCTTATAAGAAACATTAAAGAGTGAGTGATATAGAAATATTTTATTTTTATGTTAATTTACAACAGTGTATTGCTTTATTTCATTGTTGTTTAAAAATAGACATCTAACAAGTAATACATCTAATTGTGTAACAAAAACAATTTAGAACGACACAAATCAGCGCGCATAATAAACACACTTAGAAACATTCCTATTTAGTCTTAAAGGCAACTTCAATTATGACTTTGGTAAATCGCATATGCACTTATAATATACCAAAAATAATGCACAGTTACATTAATTAATCGTTAATTAAAATGTGATTTATTTGGTGAGGAACAATATAATTTTGGCACCTTGACAAGTACATATTACTCAGCACAAAATGTGATAATAAAACGGGAGACGTAAATACTTACTTAATATTTGTTAATACAAGTGGTACTTTTCCTCAATTTTCACCTTTTTAAATCGATTATAAAAACAAGTGTGGAATTTAATTTCTTGTATTTTCGGACTGAGAAACATCAAACAACTCAAGAGTCAAGCAATAGAAAATTTGAAGTTGCAAATTGTAATCTGTATTCTGTGGTTCTTCCCAGATGTCAAACTGAAAATTTACATTTTAACTCCTTTTACTTCCTATAATTTAATGCCATTTCGCAGTGTTTTTTTTAAATTGAAAATCTAAGCACACAGATTAAGTAGATTCCATAGTCTATGGTTCGCAATCCTATTATTGACTTTGTTATAATTACACACCTCTGCCGCGACTTATGCTTGCAGAAAGATACTGTCTGAAACTATTATCATCAAATAATTGACAAATTATCTCCTCTTCACAGTCGTGAGTTCGTTACCACAATCAACAGATTGCGTTTTGGTCACAACACTACACCCGCACACCTCGCTAAACTAGTGCGTTTTCCAATTACAGAGCATTTTTCGACTCAGTGCCGCACAATGCCGCATAATGCTGAAGCTTAATTGGAACGTGAATTAGTTTTCAAATGCATCAGCAGAGTGCGCTAAGTCAGTGTTGACAAAAAAATGGTCTGAATAGAGTTAGCAACCTCATTAATGTATAAATAATGTGGTAAACAACAATAATAATTGGTTGAAAACTTTTTACGCTTAATTTAATAATCAAATTATTTCATTAAATTTTTTTTACTGGAATAAGAGAAAACCTTTAAAGAATATAAGGTTTTAACAAGCTAAATTAACAGTAAAATATTTAGTTTCATGTAAGAAGTTTACATCATTTACGTTTTGAGTAATATTTTTTAATGATTTCTAAAAAAATATATACTTTTTCAAAACCATTGCAATTTTTTCTAAAGTATAATCCTGTAAAGTAAATTTGTTTACAGATCCGAATTTTAAAATAAAATTGTATTCATATTTTAAATGTGGAATATAAAAAAAGTAACTATTTATACCTTCATCCATACTAATATTTATTTTTTTAGCAGTTTGAAATAACTTTAATTATTTTCAAAATCTACGACGAAACGAAAGCCTTACAAATTTTTCAACAATAAATAATATTTACTAACGAAAATTTCGATAAATGCCAACTTAAAGAAAAATACTGGTCAATTTTCTGTCACTGTGTTGGTATTGTTTGCGAGAGCATTCGTTTTGAGAGTGCTCAATTGTGCGAAGCGTTGCTGTAGTTGGAACACTCAACGTTGAGCATTATGCCGCAAAATGCGCTCTAGTGCTGTAATTGGAAAACGCACAGCATTCGCCTATTATAGATAACAATGTTTGCTCTTTCTGCAATAACGAGATCGCAGATATGAATCATATATTTTTTAAATGCCAAAACCAAATTTTCATTTTTAATAAAATAAAAAATAAAAAATAAAATATGTTTATTATGGAACATAAGATACATGTATCACTTATTCCACGTCATTAAATTTGAAGGCATCCCTACTCATCGGCAAAGAAGACAGAGGGTGTAGGCCGAGAGAAAAAGCCGGCGTAAAAAACTCTCGGTACTCTTTTAAAACAGCAAATCATCAAACAACACTTATTTAAAACAAATATCGCAAATTGATTAGAAGTAGCCTGTCTAGCACTAGTCCCAGGCCCTTTTATCAACTAGATAATCGTTGACTTTATAGTAAGCCTTTTTACACAGCTTTTCTTTAATACATTTCTTAAATTTATTGAAAGGCAGTGATAAAAGATCCTCTGGGATTTTATTAAAGAAGAGTATCCCTTTCCCCAAAAAAAGAATTACTAACTTTAGATAGTCTAGTACGGGGAAATTGCAGCCTGCGTTTGTTCCGTGTATTAACATTGTGCGTATGTTCTATTCTAGTAAACTTATCACTATTTTTGTATACATACATAATATTTTCATAAATATATTGCGAGGGAAAGGTAAGTATATTAATTTCCTTGAATTTATCTCTAAGAAATTATAGATTGCACGAATAGCCCTCTTCTGCAGGATGAAAATAGTTTCGACATCAGCAGCATGACCCCATAATAATAAGCCATAAGTCATTAAGCTATGAAAGTAACTAAAATAAACAAGTCTAGCTGTATCGACAACAGTTAGTGAGCGAATTTTTTTAACCGCGTAGGCTGCAGAACTAAGTCTCTTCGCCAATCCGTTAATATGAGGGGACCACTGAAGTTTTGAATCCATGGTGATTCCGAGAAATACAGTTGTATCATCCAGATTCAATTCCTCACCGTTTATAATTGGTCTAGTATCCATAACCCTTGCATTTTTTGCACAAAATTTAATGCATTTTGTCTTTTTTGCATTAAGTAGAAGGTTATTCATACTAAACCAATGGACAATCGAAGACAGAGCATTGTTCACATCGTCAAAATTTGTTATTTGTCGTTTGATTTTAAAAATCAAGGACGTGTCATCAGCAAACAAAACTATCTGATGTTTTCTCTCTACCATGAAAGGTAGATCATTTATATAAACAACAACAGACTACTATTAGCAAGTGAAATAATGGAAGTTAGTGATCCCTCCCGCCGCCAGTTGTGTGATTTGTTCAAAAACAAAAAGTGTTATAGTGCATTATATAAATACGTTAAAAATACCGTAGGGAAGATTTAAGAAAACAAGTGGAATGTTGGAATAAGAATAACATGTGAAATTAAATGAAGGAAAATAAGTGAAATTTAGTGACCGAAAATAAGACTTGGCTTAAAGGTCTTGTTACCAGGCCATAAAATTATTAAAAAAAAAAAAACACCTCTGCCGCGCGAATTTTAAAACAGCTTATTAGGGGGCCACATAGCCTAGCGGTCTTGTTAAGTGGCAGCTAGGTGAGGGGTACCGGGTTCGATTCCCGGTTCGAGGGCAAGTTTTAATTTAATTTAAATTTGTTCTCGGCCTTTGGGAGGGTTGTGCGGTACCGGGCGAGTGCTTAAACCGTACATAGAGGACACTGTCGAATTTCTAAAAAACATGCACGAATTATAAAAAATCCTATACTTGACGCTGGCTAATGCACAAATCGTGCCAGATCCATAAATAAAAAAAATAAAAAAACAGCTTATTTCAAACGCGTCAAAGATATTTTTTATTTCCTTGAGACATGTATGTCTATACGTATGTCAGAAATTAATCACGACGTCCATAAAAAATCTCTCCTAAAAATGTTAAAGTAACAATCTAAATCAACAATTTTCTCATTATCTAGAAGGAAATCTAAGAAAAATGCTTACGTTGAGTCGACTGAAAAAGTATGCAAATTTTTTTCTATACACGACGAGTACTCCTTTCTCGAAGGCGTACGATTTCAACACAAATTTCATAAAGTAACCCATTGTCTTTTTGATATGGATGGTACTGTTTTAAGTAAGTAAGGAAGTTTTATTTTGTATTGCGCATCTGCGAATCTCATACGTGTTCTTAAACGTAGTCCATAGATGATTATACGTTGCAACGTACGTGCAAAGACAGCAAAAAATCCAAACTAATACACAAATTTCTTATATGTGCATATAACATATCTAAATACACGACGCCTGCACTAAGCACGCTCTGCATCAAAAGTACTAGTAGAAGCATCCTAAGAAGGATCTACTTACTATTATGATTGAAATATACATTTAAGAAATGTATGTAGGGCGTCGTGCAATATTGGTTCCTATAACTAACACATGTCTGAAAGTTCGGCGCATGTGTACTAAGAATTGATTTAGTTTTTGTTTTAATACAAACTTAATTTATTTCTCAGATTCGGAAATAATGTACCATAAAATGATCAAACAGATATGCGATAAATATAACAAAAAATACCCAAAGGATTTACAAATAAAGGTAAATATTATTTTAACAAAAACTTATATAGCTTCTATAGAAAGTTGTCTTTTGGTAAATATCCCTGGAAAATGTGTTAAACCACTTTTTACACCAATTTAGTCAAATGCGTAACTAGTCCATCCAAAAATATGTAAACTTTTGCTGTATTTTCAAACGGTTTAATTTTTTTTAAGGCGTAGGCGATGTGTCCATGATCACAATTTATGATTTGGATATAATTTTGCTGTAAATTCTGGAGCAGTGTTGGCCTAGTGGCTTCAGCGTGCAACTCTCATACCTGAGGTAGTAGGTTCGATCCCCGGCTGTGCACCAATGGACTTTCTTTCTATGTGCGCATTTAACATTCGCTCGAACGGTGAAGGAAAACATCGTGAGGAAACCGACATGTCTTAGACCCAAAAAAACTCGACAGCGTGTGTCAAGCACTGGAGACTGATCACCTACTTGCCTATTAGATTTAAAATGATCATGAAACAGATTCAGAAATCTGAGGCCAAGACCTAAAGAGGTTGTAGCGCCGCTGATATATTTTATTTTTTATAAATAATTCTGGAGATATCATGGGTTTCTTCTAAGTTTAGTTATTTTAATGCAAGGTTTACATTCTGAAACAGCAACGATGATGATGAAGACGTTAGATGACCTTCTAAGTTACATACGCCTATATTAATGTATGAGCTATTCATACTTATACATATGCCGTGTTCAGTATCTGATTATTTTCTCAATGGCTGCAGCGCAACGATATCTGCGCCAAGTTCTGTGTTAAGAGGGGAATTGACTGACTATCTAATTTTAGTTGTATGGAGAGACAGATAAAGCTATATGCACCACAGTGGTGAGGGAATTAAAGTTACCAGTATCTCCTGATGAATTTGAACGTCAAATGAATGAGTTGGCTCAAAAAGTTTTGCCAGGTGCACCGTTACTAAAAGGTACATTAATAATATAAACTCTAATCTAGGGTTTGCAGTAATATGTAGTATCGCTACAAAATATACTTAAGTGCACCTAATGATGGCCCGTGACTTTGGGGCTACGGAATATAATTTATATCTTTCAAGGCGCTGAAAGATTGCTAACTCATTTACACGATCATAAGATTCTGATGGCGCTAGCTACGAATGCTACGGAGCAAGCTGTAAGGTTGCAAGCAACAGCTCGACCTAAACTATTCGGCTTGTTTCATCATAAGGTGAGCTCTTATATTGATGAAATTGTGTATTCAAGTAAAAATAACTTTATTTATATAAGACATAAGTACACTTATGATTTATGAACGTATGAACGTACAAGCAGTTCGCAAGTCAAGGGCGTAGAGCGGGCAAGAAGAATTGAATACGATGAAAAGATTAAAAAAGGGTTAAGCATAAGCTATTAAAATGATTAATATAAAAAAAATATGAATAAAGAAATTTTATTGTTTGCAATTGCACTACACCAGTCACCAACTGCTCGTATGACGTATCTATTGCCTAATGATTATGTTTTACATAATTTGACGTAGTTATTTAGCTTATTTATTTATTTCGTTATCCTAGCTAATAAAAATATATATTAAAACAAACAGTTACACTAATTAAGTGAGGGCCAGCGGTGAATCCCAAAAAAAAAACAAAATGTATTTTAATTACTTTAATTAATCACAATAATTAAGACTTAACTAAATTAACTATTTAATGGGCCCGAAATTAGGTGCACGACATATAATCTATATTATAAACTTAACTAGTTGAGAATTGACCGGTCCGATATGAGGTATCCGATCAAAAGCTTCTGATCTCTATTGTCCATTTCCTTTCTTAACGGCATTGAAAAACAAAAACCCAACAAGCAACAACCACCGCCAAAAACCCCCCAAAAAAAGGGGGACGCACCCTACTTTGCGGGGCCTTCCCAACCAACCCGCCCCCCTGCGGGGGGGGGGGGGGTTTTTTTTTTTTTTTTTTTTTTAAAAATATTTCCCCCCCCCCCCCTTTTTTTTTGGGTTTTTTCCCCACCACTTCCCCCCCCCCAGGGGGGGGGGGGGGGGGGGGGGGGTCCTTTTTTTTTTTTTTTTTTTTTTTCCCAAAAAACCCCCCGCGGGGGGGGGGGGGGGGGTTTTTTTCCCCCCCCCCCCCCCCCCCCCCCCCCCCCCCCCCCCCCCCCCCCCCCCCCCCCCCCCCCCCCCCCCCCCCCCCCCCCCCCAAAAAAAAAAAAATAAAAAATTTTATATAAAAACCCCCCCCCCCCCCCCCCCCCCCCCCCCCCCCCCCCCCCCCCCCCCCCCCCCCCCCCCCCCCCCCCCCCCCCCCCCCCCCCCCCCCCCCCCCCCCCCCCCCCCCCCCCCCCCCCCCCCCCCCCGGCCCCCCCTCCCCCCCCCCCCCCCCCCCCCCCCCCCCCCCCCCCCCCCCCCCCCCCCCCCCCCCCCCCCCCCCCCCCCCCCCCCCCCCTCCTTTTTTTTTTTTTTTTTTTTTTTGGGGCTTAACGGTGTTGCGTAAAAGGGGTACAGGTATTGGTTATGCGGGGCAAAGGGAGTGCAATGGATATGTAACACACTAAAAATATAGCCAAAGGTGGAAAACATAATATTAACAAAAAGGTTCAAACATTTACAAAAGAGAAAAAACAATAAAAATATAACTGAGTAATACATAATTTGGCTGTGATGTGTGATGGTGTAAAAGTGAGGGTATGTACATGGGTGTGTATGTGGGATATGCTCATGATTCAGGTGATTTTGCGCTATGGATTTTCTTAATACTCATTTTTAACCATATGGTCGTTGTATGTCCGGGCTGCGCGCAAAAGTTTTTTGCATAGTTAAACCTTAAGTGTAATAATTATGAAAATAAAAGCTATTGAATTTAATAATATTATATAAATTTTTTGTAAATACGAGAAAGCCAACAAAGAATATCGTCCGTTATAAGTTTGGGTGTGCGTGATATGTATGGGTGTGTAATGTGTATGTACGTAGTGCGTGCGCTCAAACCACCACAATAATAATTTTTCTGTAGCTCCGTAGTCGGGTTCTGAACTATTGTAGATTGTTTTTCTCGTCTGTTGCTGTTGACATCACAATGATAATCGACTCCCGGTGGAGGTCTTCCCTGGGAGACGAGACACCAAAGGCCAACAACGCACCCACTAAAATGGGTGTCCATGGGCTGCGAAGACTGCCCTTTATGGGCGTCCCTCAGTCTTGTTTACCCCCCCATCCTATAAAAACAAATACTCTACAACTAGTGTATGCGTAGGTAAGCGTCACAGACCCAGAAGTGTTCCGGGGTAAGCCACAGCCGGACATATATTTGGTGGCCGCTTCACGATTCCCGGATAAACCGAAACCGAGGGAGTGTCTTGTGTTTGAAGACTCAGCTGTTGGGGTACTAGCAGCCAAAGAAGCAGGAATGCAGGTTTTACTCTTAATTATTAATATTATATGTAATAAAACAAATAATATATTACATCTTTTTTTTCTTCAAAATACAGTAGTACCCGTTTAAGACGATCACGCTTATTACGATTTCTCGCATAATAAATACGCCACTTTACGCCAGTCTCTACAATTACTGGAGACATATTTTGATACATTTCTTAACGCTTAATACGATTCGTCATCCCGTTTAATAAGCCCGAGCCAGAGCCGAGAGGTCTAACGCGAGCCCCCAGAAAGGCTTTTTGAGAATGTGAATAACACACAAAACGAAACCCCAAGTGATAATGATGAAGACAAAGATGAGTCAACTCCGGTTTTGTCAAACGCCCAGGCATTATCAGCTGTTAATGATTTAAGACGCTATGTAGCTTATTTGGATCAAAGCGAAGACACACTGCAAAAGTTGAGTTATGTTGAAAATCTTTTAATTGCTAACGCCTTTAGTACCTACGCGTTCGTATGCGGCTGCGAGTCTTTGCTAAATAATTGCGGTAGCGAAATATCTGCGGAACGTTAGTACACTGCAGTTTTTTCGCAAGGAAATGTCATTGTAGCTTTCGTGGGCTGTAGGTGCAGGCGTCGTTTCAGAATGTCATCTGAGTCGTCCCAGTCGTCGCTTTCAGATTCTGAAGAGGAAGAATTGTTGTTCCTGGCGTCGGTATTAAAGAGAAAGCGTAGAATCTGGGTGTATGAAATAAATCAGAAACGAAGAAAACTCGGAGAAAATAAGCTATGCTTAGAACTTCAATCACATGAAGATCGTAGCCCAACTAAATATAATTCGGGATAATTTCGAATCAAATTCAATAATAATTCAATATTTTCGGCTTCCATTGTGCGAAATTCTGTCCTCACCGACAGAACGCGTGGTGATGCCTTGCGATGCGAAACTCTACTAGCGAAACGGCTGCGTCTGTGTAACAGCCATTTCGCAGTTACTTGCGAAACAATACCGACAAGGACGCAACTATTTCATCTAGCTATATATTAGAGCGAGACAAAACACATGCGAAACGTTGCCATACAACTTACAGTTTTTTCGTCGTTTCGCTGCCGCATGCGATTGCGTAGGTGTACTAAAGGCGTAAAGGCCTAATGCATCAAAATCTTTCTGCCAAACCAAAATAAGTGATTATTTTAAATAATGTAATTATAATTACACTACGTATTTAATGTAATTTATAAATGTATAATTTAATACCTATACCTATATACTAAAATTAGAACATAATACACATGTATTACGGACTATTTTCCCTATCCCGCATAATACGCTTTCTCGTTTTAAAGACGCGTTTTTGGTAGGGTCCCTGAAAAATCGGGTTTACTGGGTTAATTAAGCGGGTTTTACTGTATTGCCAAATCAGTTTTCAGAAAGAAAGCAACACATAATGTGTCGTCCATAGATTTCCTTTCAAAGGGATTTTTAATTTATATTGTTGTTTACTGTACAATTTAAGAGAACACTCATAAATACGCTTTTACCCCCAGCTAAATTCCAGGTTGTAATGATTCCGGATTCCCGTCTCGACCGCGATCAAACTCGTCAGGCAACACTAGTGATCAAAACGCTTTTGGAGTTCAAACCAGAACTATTCGGCTTGCCACCGTTTCAAGATGGCCCAAGACCAATGGAACGTGTTGAAAAAATAAAAGAAACATGACAATTTGCTCGTTTTTGTAGTAAAAAAAAACAGGGGCGCTACAACCTTTCAAGCATCAGATTTCTGTATTTGTTTCGTGATTATTTTTTTCTTTTTTGAATGGCGAGTAGTTGATCAGCCCTATGTGCCTTGGCCGCTACTCACGATGTTTTCCTTTCGTATGAGCGAGTGTTAAATGCGCGCATAGAGAGAAAGTTAATAAATAGCTGCTCAGCCGTGACTCGTACCTACGACCTCAGAGATGAGATTGACATGCTGATGCCACTATGCCAACACAGCTCTCCTTTTTATATTAACAGTATATAATTTATAAAACTATTATATAAAAACTCTGTAAAGGTACATGTCATAAGGAATCGGACATGTAAGCACACTCAAAAAATATATGACGTATCAAATGTATCTATATATCAAAGACATTTCTGATGTCAACTTACGCTTATTTTTTTGTAAAATTGTATGTAGAATTGCTTAAGTACTTTCATCTATTCGGTAACTGTTTTAAATTCCAACCGTTTTTAACCGACTTTATGAAAGGTAGATCTATTTTTTGATGGTTATATTAGAAATAATTGAATTCGTCGGAATCTCACTTTCTGTATACACGTAATACAGGCTAATTCATAAAAAGATCGACCTAATTCGGTGTAATGAGGTCTATTAAGGAATAAGGATACAAATTTTGCTATTCAGTAACGAATTTTAGCGTTAATTTCATCTAATAGCAGACTCATATTAGGTATGTTATTAAAGCCCAAACTCTTTTAAGCGAATTTTGCCTCCTAATTACAATTATTTAGATTTAGATAAAAAGTTGATTGAAATTGATCAGCTGTTGTATGATTGTTTTTCGATGTCATCTATGCCAATTACTATAAATAAAGTAATTAATTTTGAATATCGTATAAAGAGAACACGATATTAAATATGTATCTTTCTTTTATCTCAGACCAAAAGTCAGCGGTCTGAACTTTAGAAACTGGTTTCTATATCACGATAACTAAATGGTAAGGTTGGTATAAAAATGTATTACTCTATCCTGTGTAATTAAAATAAATCTGAATTATATTTAATATTTATCTATAAGTCGCAGCCAACTAGCTTAATTAGGCGTTCAATTAACAACCTAGACTTTTAACTAAACGGCGCGGCGCCATTTAACTAACGGTCTGAAAGATACCTAGTCGCCGTAGCGTTTGTTACAACATTTAACAAACTAGCTGGCTAATTCTCAGGCCATTCGTAAGATAGTCATTATTTGGCAGAAATAAAAAAGATGAAACATATGACATAAAAATATTTAATAAAACACTATTTTGACCGGATTGAAGTTATGTATTATTATAAAGTGCGTGGCCACGCACGCTGTAAAGCACGCGAAACGTCGGATAAATTTAAAATTATGTTAAATAGTTGTAAATTTATAATAATACATAACTTCAATCCCCTTTTTTTTTTTTTTTTTTTTTATTAAATGAATAAAAGTTATGTTAATCAAAGACAATACTATAAAAATATTTCTTTTAAAATTAAATCACATTATTATTGTCACTACAATCTTCCATTGTACTTGTTGTTTTTCATGAAAATTTGGAAAACACCATCAAAGCTGTTATTTGCCGACGATATATTGACAGTTTCAAGAGTTTCGTTTCGAGTTTGAGAGTGGCAGAAAGTGGAATTAAATTAACAGTCAACAGGCTAGGCAAGTAATGAAACGTCATCGATCCAAGTCATTTGCCTAGCTGGTTAATCAACTGGCTGAAAATCTATCAGGCCGCTAGTTAAACGGCTAGGCTGTTAGATGAACGGCTAGGCTGTTAGTTGGACGGCTAGGCTGTTAGTTGGACGGCTAGGCTGTTAGTTGGACGGCTAGGCTGTTAGTTGGACGGCTAGGCTGTTAGTTGGACGGCTAGGCTGTTAGTTGGACGGCTAGGCTGTTAGTTGAACGGCTAATTAAGATAGTTGGCTGCGACATATATATACAGCTTTTCCCTGATGGGACACCAATTTCGTGTCTGGCGCCGTTGGGCGTCGCCTATTGCATTGTCATTTGAAAAATGTCGCCAGATCTCAGCGCGGTCGCCATAGCTGGGCGGCAGGCGAATATGTGGACAGATAAAAAAAATAACGACGGTTAGCAGAATAGGGACAGTTGATTTGCAACATTTGTTACACAGCTTAATTCAAGGTGTCTGGCTAGGCCCTTAAAGAAGTAAAGAAGAATTCTTCAAACTTTACAGATGGTTGAAGGGATGATAAGGGGAGTAAAAATATATTAAAGAAAACACAATTATTTGCGTTTATTGTTTATTAAACCAAACCCCTTGTTAAAATTATATTATACACTTTAATTTGTATTCTATAAGGTACACGGATATAAGATACTATACAAGTATTTACATAACTATTGTTTATAAGCATTAAAATAGTTATACAGATCCCAAAGTAGACATAAGAAGTATTATTTTATTTTCATGAAACATCAAAGCACAAAAATATAAAAACCGCCAGAGTATTTTTTTTAAATTTTATGTGGATTTTATCTGAAATCATGTTATATTTCAATACTTTCTAATCAGTGTCGATGCGGTTTTTAATGATTTTGTGATTAATGGAACAAAAAGCCAACGAATATTATAAAAATACGATAATATTTTTTTAAAGCCAATTTATATTTCGTTGTAAAATATACTTTTGCCACACATAAATAACCACAATTTTTGTCCTTATTTTTAGTACTTAAGAGGTGGCGATATTTGTGTGATTTCTGACAATGTCTACTTTGTTCCCGTTTAAATGCAATAATAAATAATGAATACAAAAAACACAATATAAACTAGTGAACAGATGCGCAGTTATATTTCGACAAGATGTTAGCCCGGAAATGGTTATACAATGTGAAAATGAAATTCTTGCCTAGTCTAGTTAGCCAGGGTCGTAGATGCATCTAGTGTTTTTGCGAAAAAGGTAAAGAGATGAGCTAATATCATTTCCGCACCAATTCAAAACTTAAAATTCCTTTTGGGAAAAATATACTAGAAATAAAATTTATCCCATATATTTTTCGTTTTATATCCATTTGGTACAGCTCTCAACATGGATAATGGAACAAAGCTTAATAGAGACATTTTAAAAACTCAACGTTATTTTATAAGAAAAATCAATCTTAGGGTAAAACAAATTGGAGGCATAGCACCAAGAATAAAACCGTCTTTCAAAGCCATTACGTTTGTACGTCCTGGCTTGTACAAACGAGCGCAAAGGCAGCAATTCAAGACTTTAAAATAAATATCAGGACTCATAGTTCGTTTCGTTTTGAATATCAGATAAATCTCGACTATATTTTAACGTCCCAATAACACTAGATGGCGTTCATACAAAAATCTACATATTGTGAAATTTTATACTCTTGTGGATTTACTTGTGATGTTAATACTAAACTAAATAATATCAATCTTTTTACAACTGATTTTTACCTGCGATGGTTGTAGTGTACGTACTTCATACACGAAGGTGCTTATTTATTCTTACTCAGTTATAATATGTACAGTTATCACCAAAATCACTGCACAATACTGAACAATGCAGTTTGAAACAATATATGTTTTTGTAGAAAGACAGCTTTCCCAATAAATATATGATCACAAAATTTCAAGCAATATCTACCTTTTGGTTTTTGAATTACTCTTTGACAGCAAACAAATTTGGCGATTACTTATATAAGATAGATATATTACTTTAATATAGATTTTATTAAACATATATTACATTTTTTATTTGTGCTATCTAGATAACTAGATTGAGGCACTTAGCATCCCTATTTTACTAACAAAATCCCCTCAATTCGTAGTATTTAATTACTTTCGTTTTAACCAATAAATTTTCTTATAGGAATGCATATCTGACATTTATTTCATATATTTTCAGCATGTTTTATGCAAAATAATATCTATATTTATTACGACTGTTGATAAATAAAAGAATCCATATGTCTAGTTATCTCGGTGTCTATGACAATAGACGCATCCTATGTTTCAACGATTTTAAAAACCCGAGTAAGAGGTTTATAATTACCCATATCTTTTCCAATTTTTAAAATAATAATTTAAGGTCACTGTTAAAACTGAATTAATTATAATTAAATTATTTTGAGCAACCACTAGAATTTCTTTGATATTTTTTTTCGTAGGGCTGTATAATATTGGCACCAATATCAGCGCCAAAGGCGTGTCATAGCAAGCCACGCCCCATACACTAACACTGATACCAATCTTTCCGAATAAAAAAACCTTAAAAATGATTGTGAGGCATGACAGTTTTGAATTTGGTATCAGTTTCCTATATTTTTATACAAATATGATTTTAACCAACCATAATATTTTTTTAATGTTTTGCATGTTTTTTCTCAATAATTATAAGTATGGATTCTTTTATTCACAACTACCCACCAACAAATATTTTAGCAAATTTACTCCTTCGTCATGTGTCATCCACTTTAATATCAGAATCAAGGCCATTATCTGTATTTCCCGTAACATTTACTACCCTTTTTTGAAATTCGTTTTCTTTAATAAATTTATTTATATGTATAACCTTATCTTCTTTATCTGTACATTTCTGTCCATCTTGAATATCATTGCATTTTTCTCTATTGTGGCCGGCTTCAATTATTGGTTTTAACATCTCCATATTGCTTTTACTAAAATTTTCGACTTCTTGATCACAATCTTTGCAATCTAAGCTGTTGAATGTATGTAATTCATCATTCTGTAGTCCATTATCACTCATATTATTTAATAATATATTGTCACCACAATCTGTATTTTCTTTTAATGAAATATTATCATTTATATCACCTGCATTTTCGTTCTCGTTTAAACCAAAATCTGTGATTGCTACGTTTTCTTTATTATTTTCTGTCTCCTTTTCTAAATATTCTTTTTCGCTTTCAAGAGCTTTTCTTTCCTCTAATTCTCTTCGCTTTTCAGCATTCCACCAAGGCATAAAGCGTTGGAACATCACACGAGTTCGGTGTTGCGGCTTCAGAACCCAGGATATACCCATTTCTACGTCCGCGATTCTGCAATTAATTTTATTTTAAATTATAAGACTATAAGATATTTTGATCTGTTCTTTGTCCATCAAAATTGTTATTTTGGATACAAAGTCATAAACTTTAGCAGTGTTACGGCTAAAACTTTGTATTATAGTTTACACTTATACCTATCTATTGGATAGATATTGCCGATGTATGATAGTAAATAGCAAACCTTCGTCTAAATCGATCCCGGTCCAGGGCGTGTCTTTCCCAGTGACCAGCTCTCGCTTGTCGAGCTGCAAAAGCCCACACCCTCATAACATGGACCTTTGGTGGGTCGGTAGAGAAACGGACCTGAAATTAAAATATACTCTTATTATGTACAAAGGAATGGAACACAAATAAAAATAAAACAATTACTCATTTTTATAATATATTGCTTTATAGAAAAACGCTTTTAACCGGATTAAAGTTATGTTTATTATTATAAATTTACAACTATTTGACATAATTTTAAATTTATCCGACGTTTCGCGTGACCACGCAGGCTCGTAAATTTAAAATTATGTCAAATAGTTGTAAATTTATAATAATAAACATAACTTTAATCAGGTAAAAAGCGTTTTTCTTTAAATGTGTAAAGGTTATGTTAATCAAAGACAATACTATATTGCTTTATACTTTAAACTAGGTACAAAAGTTCTTAAATTCTTAAATTTAAGTATTTTATTAAATACTAGCTGTGCTGTGCAGTTCTAACTGCATTAATATCATAACTACATCTTCATTTGCATTATGCAGTCGTAGCACGTTTATATAGCCTAAATTATTCTCGGTAAATAGACTTGAATGCAAATGATGTTTTTTATTTGTCAAACAAGGTATCGCGGAATTGATTGGTAGATATTGATGTATAAGAAATAATCTATAGCCTATGTTTATCAGGGATAATGAGGGGTTCTAAGAGCGAACGAATTTTACACATCAGTCCAGTAGCTTCGGAGCCTATTCAATGCAAACAAAATTAACTATCCATTTGTTGAAGAAAAGTCGTACTTGGACCATACATTTTTGTATAGGGTAATGTTTGCGATTCTTTATTTACTATAAGCATGATCAACTATAGAACTATATTATACATGACTACATGAGACATACAATAAAAAGTTTTGGTGATTCCTACGTGATTCATTCATTAATCATTACAACCTATCATGTTCTATTACTACCAGTGTCGTCATCAGCCGAGTCACGCCGTGACGTCACGAGACAGATTTACGCGCAATGACCTTACGGTTATTCTGAGTGCAAAATAGTAAAGAGAGAAAGATATAGAAAACAATCTTTCGGTAAAATGGAAAATTCGCCTCCTTATGCTCCAGAAGTCTTTCTACGAATACGAACGTTTGGCTGTTATTATGACGTGTACTTTTATATCAAATAGGTTAGGTTAAGTTAAGGGCCTCATAGGCTAGCGATCTTATTAAGTGTCCGCTAGGTGAGGGGTATCGGGTTCGATTCCCGGTCGGAGCGTAAGTTTATTTGTATAAATTTAAAAATCTAACCTAACCGAATGTAATTCACTGGTAACTGAGACAATATCATTTACATCATGCATGTAATATTATCGGTTTTTAATTTTCATTAAGGGTTTCAAAGTCATGCGCCTTCTTAATATTACTTGGGGTACAACATACAAGCAGTAAATAACCATAGAAAAAAAATTGGAGCTATTTTAAGGTGGAGCTGTGATTCCACAAATTTACTAAAACATCTTTTGCCTTTACAAGTGTAGATAAAGTTGCGGTCACCCGATGTCGACATTTTCGTATGTGTCTTATCAAGTATTTCTAATATTTCAAGGTGAAGCAATAATTTACATAAATATACATTTTGACATTTAGTGAAAAGAATTCAATATGTATAATGTATATAATTTATTATTTGAACAATTATTACACGTGTTTAATTGTTGTAGATTTCTTAATAACTATAAACTTAACATTCGAGCGCTTATAGGAAATTAAGTAACTACTTCAACTTCTAAATGACTTTGAACTTTGACTAAATTATGTATTAACCGTCAATACTACATACAGATAAACATTTATAGAACATAATTTCATTGTTAATATTAATAAGACAGTTACATTAGGAAATATCATTATTTTTATGTGTGAGTAACCGGCCTAATTTTTTATAAAGGGCTCATTTAACAGTAGTATTTTCTGAACCCACGTTTACGGCTCGTATCAATTACTCCTATACTTCGGATATATGATCAGGCGTTAATCATCGAAGCCATATGCAAGCGCAAGTAACGCAAGAATTTAATTTATTTCGGGGTTTTGACGCCACGTCATTTCAAAACTCTTTGTTTACACAACAATTTCTCTATATTTCATATAAGGATAAATAATCATTGCCTTGCCTGGGTTATCATATTAATGTGTCTGTTGACACATCAGCTTCAAACAAACACTACAGTATAATGTGATGATAGAATAATTAGCACTTTTATATATACCATAACAATCCGAGAAATAATAATTTAGTCTCCTTTGTACTGTTTATGTAATCGAAAAGCAAAGAAAATACATCGTCTGCATAAATAAAGGACATTTAAAACCCTAATGTCAGAGGCCTGCGACATATTGGGTACGTGTGACCGCAGGCCGAGGTCGCTATTACGATTTAGGTACAAACACAATCGACCTTCGTGTCTGCATGATAGAAAGTACTCAACAGAAATGCTATGAGTGTAATCTAATGACCTAGCTGTTGCATCATTATATAGGGAAGTGATGATTAATTGGTTCCCTTAGTATTTAAAGAATATGTCCAGTCTCCAGAATTTTTTAAGAACATACCAAATTAGGTAGTAAGAATTGTTGCATAAATATTTTGTGTAAATTATAAATCAATATTTATAATACTAAAGTATCATTTTAATAAAAATTGTATTGTTAAAATGAGTTATTTCTCAGTATTTTACTCCAATATTTTTGATCAAGTATCTTGTTGTCAAAATTCGCGTTATCGATAGACCTTTCATATTGAACAGGATAAGATATTTTTTTATCAATTACACTGCAATATAGAAAGCGCCACTAATTATTTTGGAATTGCTTTATCAGTTTGACGTAATATGATTGTGTTAATATAGATGTAATATATTAAGCTCTCTAACGTTTTGCAGCGATGATAATTTAACTCACAAAGTAATTATTTTTTGGCTTTTCTGCGTGCGCAACTTACTCCCAGATAATAACCGGATAGCAAAGTCGCTGGCACTCCTTTTCCCATACTAAAATGCATCCAGGACTATGGGAGCGTTCAAGTATTACGTAACGAATTTTTCCTTTTTGCAAAACGACGCGGGGCGGGGATTGAATTAAGCCGTTATTGTTAATATTGTTTTCAACTTTCCAGTACTTTATACCACATAATGGTAACTTTTAGGTATAAAGAGTCACTAGCTGGTCACGAATCGTTTTAATATACTTGGGTACAGAAAAACGTTACACATTTATGATAGGTTAGAACTACAAATATATTGTAAACTGGTCAAACAAGGCGTCAATGCTACTTGTTCCATGCTACGTATTCCATGTAAGGTATGGTTAAAACTTAAAATACATTTGAATTGACAACGGTTTAAATAAATCTATAAGTATATATAGTATAAGATCCCGCTATACAACGACCTTCACCGAGATGCTTATTTAATGAAACTTATTTTATATTTAATTTAATATGTCAATAAATATAATCCATATGGGTTGTCTACAAATTTCAGTCACAGAGTATGTTTAATTAATATTAAAAAAAAATTTTTTTATAATTTGCGTAGTAAATTTTTTGAACTTTTTCAATCATATTTTTAATCAGGGTAGTACATTTATAATATGTATCACTATAACCTCTTTTATATAAAAATGTATATACTTTAGTGTCACATAAAAATATACACATAAATAATTAATTGATTAAAAACAACCTAACGTTTGCATATTCTATGGGCTTCATACTTTCGATTGGTATTGAATTTATCTAATAATCATACCGTTGAAATGTTTAAAAAAATTTTTTTTTAAATTATAAATACTGACTGAAATTTGCTAGGCAACCCATATGGATTGTATTTATTGACATATTAAATTATATATAAAATAAGTTTCATTAAATAAGCATCTCGGTGAAGGTCGTTGTATAGCGGGATCTTAGACCAATAAGAATTATTCTTGCTCATAAACTAGTCTGCAACGATTTTTGTTTAGACATATATATACTTTTAATTAAAACCAAAACAATAACAAATACACTCATTGATTGTTAAACAGTGACGTAAGTGCTAAGACTTTTATGTCTTCTTAGCTATTTATATTTTAATTATAGTTACACCGTGTCACAGATTATGTGTTTACTATGATTCTGTACGTTTAGCTTAGTTCATACGCGAATTTACTTTGTCGACATCGGTGTAGGAAAATGGGGAGACTTTCAAGGACAACTTATCACCTCCGCAACTCTGTCCTACACTAATGTAAATGAGGACATATATTGGAACATATTTTATTGATGACCGGCGGTTCAACTGACCGACTGTTATAACTTCCTCGTGGGAATTGCGAAACGTAGAAAGTTTTAATTATATTTCTGTGACTGTACTGTACCTTAATATTCATCATGATTTGACAATCATCGTCTATAGTGAAAACCGATATGATTATCTTGCCAATTAACTAAAAATGGCGTCCAAAAGATAATTCTACTAAATTTCGAATGATCTACATCGCATACAACTAGAGCACCTAACGGTTCGCAAAAGCACTATCTAGTCACCGCAAATAAATGTATAGTGCATAGCAACATTATCTTCGTAAATACGTGCGACTGTTGAATATTTATTTGTAAAATTAAGTGGCTTATATTTATCATTGGAATTTCCTATCGGACATTTATGAACGGCATTCAAGGTTTTTGCCTTGTTTTACTGGAAACATCTAGTCCACCTAGCGCTTGGCCTAGATACGAGTACCTAATTGATAATAAAAATGCGATAACGTCATCCGCTATGAATTTTAGGGGAATAGTAATTATTTTATTTAATGAGAAACAAAACATTACGTCGTCACTGGTATATTGGTTATATAGCCGAGAATCGGAAAGACTGGTACTATTCAAATTTAATTCGATCGCCGTCTTCACAAGGTAATAAATAAGTGAAGAGCAAATGTAAGTCAATGGAATTATACATTTAGTTTGCATTAAGAAATATTCTAATACCACTTTTGTTGCTTTGTGTTAACGCCTCTGCGTTCACGTGCGTAACACAAAGCAACAAAAGCGGCGTTATTAGTTCTCTAACTCAAAACTTAATCATGGGTTCGATTCCGGCGTGACAATAATTATTTGAGGTTCATAGTCAAGCAGCCCTGATAACCTATTTGCTTTAAAAAATGGTAAAGAAACAGATGCAGAAGGACATCAAAACATTATATGGTTATATTTTAATTGTATTGTTTTAAAACTGTTATTTGTTACCAAATTGGTACAAATTTATAAAAACATATATTTCTGTTGATAAATGCTTGAATAAAAACAATCAGTTTATTGGAAAATATACTGCTTATTAATAATTTATTGGTTATTTCTAGTTATATGCATCACTAAGGTGTAACAATGCATTATGCTTATCTTATGGAAATAGTAATGGAAAATCATACTTAATATATAATAATTTTATTTTTTTTGTGTTGTATAGTCCATGGAGAAAGGCTAATATCAGGCTAAGACTGAAATTATGAAGGTGAAGCCACTGGACACAACTAAATAGATAACATGTGTAACACCACAGCAGACTACAAATAGACTTATGATGAGGCGAGACATTAAAAAGGCTAACAATAACAATGTTTAATGTAGTCCACGGTATTTTGAAGGTATGGTAAAAACAACTTACCTTTTTAAATGGCTTTTGATTCTTGTCCTCTGTTAGTATTTTGCTTTGAGTGGTATCTGACATATTTATCTTCTCTGGTTCAACTGCATGACCTGGCTGTACAGCACAGTCAACAACGTCATTTCCATATAAGCTATCATCGGTTAAATCTCCAAAAGTCCTTGATAGTGAATGATTTAGGCATGTCATAACATAACCTGAATCTTCTGTTTCAGATTCTGAATCTGAACCAAACACATCAATATTTGTGTAACAATCTGGTGACTCATCAAACACAATAAAGGAATCTTCCGACTCACAATCAGATGGTATTCTTTTCCGATCTGTGAATACAATTTGAAACGAATCATCACTGTCTACAGATGAAGAGTAAAATCTGCCATTTACCTCATCAAAACTATTTTTTGTTTCTCGAGGTGCATCAATTTCATTGCCAAATGAAGATGATATTACTCCCTTAATGGGTATAGCTGTTGTTTCTTGAACTGAGTTTAGATTTTGTTTATGTTTACAATGCAAGAGTTCTTTTAATTTATTTAACTTATCTTCACAAGTGGATACAATTTCTCTTTCTTTTGAATTGCAAGTAACTGTATTTAAATCTTTTTCAGTCCTATCCATATCTGGTTGTTTTCTATCAGTTTCGGGTAAAATCTTAACAATATCCATAGATTCATTACAAAACTCAGTCTTAATAACTGGGGCTTCTACTTCAAGTAATTCTTGCTGATGTTGATTATATGCAGTGTAACATTGTATTACCGTATCATTTGCTGACTGAACAATGTTTTCTGGGCAAAATGCATCTTCAAATGAGTCTTCTACGGATTTAGGCTCAACATACATTGTTGCAGGACACTTTTGAATGTTTCCATTGAGGACTAAGTGTACTTTGTTTATTTTATCCTTGCAATTAGTGATTACAGTCATATTATCCATATCATTGGAATTAGGAGTCGAATTCCTATTTTGAACCTCAAACTTGGCTGGCTGCCAAGGTAGAGACGGTGTCATTTGTCCGTCATCAACAGTGTCGAAACAATCATAATATTGGGTGGTGGGTGAAGAAGCCCTTTTTTGAAACATAGCAGTCATGACATTGAACACACCAGAAAAAAAGTTGGTAATGCCACCTAGAGAACCTAACGCTCCAGATTCAGAGGTTGGTGGGGGTTTCTCGAACTTATCACGCTCTTTCCTTTGTTCCATTGTCCCTGTTATGACTGAATCAGCCAAATTCTTTTTCAACGGGTCCGGAATTAAGTGCAAATTATTAATACTGTTAAAAAATAGTGTGTCTCCCAAAGGGTTTTTCATTGCTTTCGATTGGGCGTCCGTGGAATAATTGGTTATGGAAAAGTTTACTGGCGAGAACATTTTTGGTTCGTTGCGATTACGCGTACGACAAACATGTACATTATTCATTTTTAAAGGATTTTAAAGTTTATAGAGGATGCTAAGTCATTTTACACTCACACAGGCATGTTTTTGTTATTGCACAAAAATGAAAAGTCTGAAAAAGGCTTGTGAATAAGTCTATAACACTTCAAACCGATAATAGACACTTCCTGGGCCTCACAAGGTCCTGAATCGTAGATCTTAAGTCTCTCTGTACTATACACTGTCTCACCACAAGAAATGTTTCTTACGTCAGAACAACTTGAAAATTCGTTTGTTTGATAATAATACTCGCTAAATAGCTCCATTTTGATACAAAAATCGAAACACGTCTTTATAGTTCAGCCATTTTGTTAAAATAATTTGTATTTATCAAAGAGCATAGTATTTACATGGTATTTACGCTAGAGTATAGTAGATATATAGTCACAGATAAAGATTAAAGAATATTAACGATGACGTGAAACTGACAGACCTGAAATATTTATCATCTAACCTGTCAAGACCAGTGTTGCCAACAACAATAAGCCAAATTGGCTTAACTAAAATTTTGTCATATTATTTGTAAATTTTGTGTGTAAATCATGTAATAAAAGCTGCCAAAAAATTATGCAGTCTTTTTAATGTAAATAAAACGCCTTTCTATTAAAATAAATGTTTAATTTATTAATACATTAAATGCGACAGTTACCGGATAAGAATGATAATCTCTAAGATCCGGATAAGAAAGACTAAATAAGCCTATATAAAATTCTCGTGTCACGATTTTATTATGATTTAATGTCTTCATACTTCATGCAATTACTTATTTTCATTTCTATTATATATTTTTTCCGAATAGTTAACAGGTATAAACTAAAAACCAAACTTTGTTTTATTTGATAGAATATTTCGTTTCTTTCTCAGGATTTGATTATTCCGAATAAAGTTGTGTTTTATAATAAATATAGTTTTAGTTTTCCATGCAATGCTAGTCATTTTAAGTATCAACAGCAAAATACTAAATACGTATAGTATTTAATTTCATAGAAATACAATTATCAATGTTATAAATAATAAAATAAAATCAAGTAAGTTTAATCCACAAAATGTATCAAACTTTCAGGGATACCATACTAAAATGTTTTGAATTTGCCGTGCTTTTTCGTTATCTCCTTTCGTTAGCCAGACTCTAGTTACTTTTATTGAACTAAAAAAATGTTTCCTAGAAATAATATACATGGCAAAACAAACGTTTGCCGTGTTAGCTAGTAGGTAGGTGAAATATAATATGGCTCCGTTATTTGGCAATCGGATATGACCTTAAAACTTTTTGTTATAATTACAGGCTGAAAAAAAAACTTGAATTTCTAATTGACATGATTTAAAAAATGACAGTGAGAAAAAAAATATATTATGCTTTACGTGATGTGGATGTTTTTTTGTAACAAAATATAAAAATAATACAAAAAAATTGAAAAATAGCTTAAATATTATAAAAGGGTTGGTACAGAATATTTTATTTAAATAATTAGTTTGCATATTCTTTTCTAAACATTATAATAATTTTATAGCATATCTGATGAATGAATAAATTAAAAAATATAAGCATACTGGTTGAATCTACGGATCACGATGGCTGACAAGAAAAAGTAAGAACTTTAAGAATATCTTTATAATACAACCTTAAAATTACCAGGCCTTACAAGATAATCAATTAAATGACTAGATTATACAGTTTCCGATAATATGGTCAGTTATTATTCCTGTCATCAAGGCTTACGTCGACGGCCGGGAACTATTGAATATGTCAAAATTTGTTTAACATTTACGTAAGAAATATTTTATAGACAGCAGGCGGGGGGTGATGCTCCTGATAAGAAAAAGGGAAAAGGAAAGGATGAACCGGAGGAACCGGAAGAGATACCTAAGACCCCTTCACAGATTGCACGAGAGTGAGTTACTATAATAATAATTTGAAATGTAGCTAAACATGACCTTTTATTGTACTTTAAATACCAGATATTTATGTAGCAACATCCACAATTTACTACTGCGTCATTCCGACACGCTGGTGCAACTTTGATCGCACACAGTTCCGACTTACTGCATACTACGAGATCCCATCCGGTACTAGAATCTCAGGAAACCTAGCACTGGCAAAGCCTTTACACAGTTGTTTCGGGCCATTCAGCTGTTAAACTGGTAGAGACCCACCCTTCAATTAAGGCTTTTTTCTGTAATGCTTTGGTTTGTTTTATTATACTTTTACATATGATTGTTATTAATTGTATACAGATTTTCTGTAAAGATAAATGAATGTACGACATGTTCTACTAATTATGCATTGTGAGGATTATTAGTGGATTAGGAACAAAACTATAGGTTTACTCAATTCAGGTGGTACTCAATAAAATCGGACCCAGGACAAAACTACTTTAAAATTTCAGGGAGGCGGAATACAGGGCATATTTACGTAAAAATAGGTTTAAAAGAAGATGGCCCGAAATATCGAAGCCGGAAATCAAAACAAGACCGTGGAGGCCCCCTCCACCCCCTCAGAAATTGCCTAGAGTTGTGAGTATTTTTTTGGTCAACAATGGTCAAAAAGTCAGTTGTTATACCAGAAAGATTTTATAAATTTCCGCTGTAACTAGAAATTTATGCAAACATTATGACCTGTCAAAAATATAAATTATAATTATTCTTAAGAAACGTCTTCAAAGACGTCACTAACACATCGATTGAACTAACTAATACGATTGTGCTAATGGGATTTATTAAATCATTTAGATGATTGAACTACCAGAGTTAGAGACGCGCAAATGGATACCGCCATATTTGCGACGGCGCCGACGAAGGCCGCGACGCTTGCGCATACCGCGGGAAGAGATTACTCAGCCGTTGTATGAATGTGCTAAGTTGAAAAAGGTAAGGGTTTTCTGGCTTTAATAATACGTTTTTACGCGTCGCACTCAGATAATCTTCCTATAGATACGTTACTTATTTTAACTATAGGGCCGTTTAATTAAAACTTAATAAATACTTGATTACGGATAGGAAATTAAACACTTCAATAATGACTTGATTCACTATAATTTACTTAACTGATTTTACATAAACTGTATCACTACGAAGTTAAACGAAGAATGCCCGTGCGCATGTGCCATAATTTGTTTAATATTCTATTCCCTTCTCCAAGTCGACCATCCCACTTCGGGCGGATGTTCGACGTCATTAATTCGTAAACAAAACGAGTCAAATGAGCAACATATATTTCATAAAATATTTTTATTATTCATATAAATAAATATTACCAACCCAACATACGTGAGAAGATTTACTAATTAATAATCCCCCCTCCTCCCCTTGTCAGCAAATATAAGCAAGGCTTTAATATTATGACTGGGATTTATTTGTCTATTTGATACGACATTTTGAACAATTCAACTTTGGTGAAAGTGGATCAACGGTAACACCAAAACATTAACTTGCTTTGCTTAGAACACGTCGGTAATTCCCCTACTCAGTTCTAAGCGCGTACCGAAATGTATTAATTATTTGTAGAAATCCTCGAAAATGCATTTAAAATAAAAATAAATAAATCAGTGGCGCTACAACCTCTTTAGGTCTTGGCGTCAGATTTCTGAATCTGTTTCATGATCACTTTTACATCTCTTAGGCAAGTAGGTGATCAGCCTCTAGTGCCTGACACACGCCGCGCGTCGGCTTTTGGGTCTGAGACATGTCGGTTTCCTCACGATGGTTTCCTTCACCGTTCGAGCAAATGTTAAATGCGCACATGGAAATAAAGTCCATTGGTGCAAAGCCGGGGATCGAACCTACGACCTCAGATATGAGAGTCGAACGCTGAAGCTACTAGGCCAACACTGCTCTCGAAAATGCATTTAGTTTTCAAAAATAGACATTGTGGGTTGAATATGTGTAAAAAAAGTAAATAATTACACCTGACGTAATCACTATCTAGATACCATATCATAAAAAATAAGAAATCAAAGACCGTACCCGGGGGCCCTCACATAGTGCTTCCGCAATACTTGAACGGCCCCTATGCAATGTTTGCGGTTTTGTTATCGGCCGTTCTGCCGTAACAGCCCTGCGATTCTGTAACTCACTTTTCAAACTCTGAAAAGGTGGGAGCTTGTAGTTTATTGTTTATCAGAATGCCAAATCATAAAATGACTGCTTCAGGACTGATTTGAGAGCGACCGCCGATGCGAAAACCGCTGTGTGAGTTCGAAAAGTGAGTTACAGAATCGCAGGGCTGTTTTGACCAGAACAGAGAGAAGCCACACACACTTAACATATTGTCATGTTAATACAGGTTTTACCGTTTAAAATTGCATATACATTTTAACAATTTTTTACTTTACTTGAGTTATAGGTATTCTAGTACATACTACTAAGTTATCAAATAAATGTCTTTTATTTTATTTATAAACGTATTTTGGTAGATCTGGCACAACTTTACTCAAGTGGAGAAGAATAAGATGATGCTTCAAGGCAGTATTGGGTGCAACTCCAAGAAATACTCTTCTACTGCTTGCGGTAAAATTAAAAAAAAAATAGCATTTGTGTAATGATTCTGAAAGAAACCATTCATTGTCTCTGATGTAATTCATGTACCTGTCGAAGGTTCCCATTAGCATGGATCCAAATTGTTTTATGTAATATTTGCTTATCATCATAACAAAAATATACAACTATTTCATAGAGTTTTAAATATAAAATATGTATTGTTTGTTTAAATTTAAATAAATTCACAACGCAACATTTTCGTTACAAAAAATAAATTTAGACTATCAATTTAGGTTCGCAAACTGCTTGCATAGCAGTTGTATGCCGAGCGCTATTAGAAGAGAAGACACCGGCTGAATTAATAAGGAGAGATGTGGATGAAGTGATAGATGGCGGAGATAGATATTATAAACAGTGTATGCTTGCCATGAAGTGCTATAAGGGTAAATTGTTTCATATAAGAACTTATTTAATCTTTATTAGGTACAATGGAATTCCTTCTACCCTTA